GGGGTGCTTTTTGTTTTTATGAATATCTCAAAAACAAAAAATCTGAAGAAACCCACTTTTTCCTAGAACAGCCCCCACATGATTTATCTTGTCTATATACACTAATAGAGTGAACCATTCCTTGTGATTGAAGTGACCTATAATCATGCTTTGTATTATTATTATTATAATTATTAATATTTTTATATTCTTTTAACATTTCATGTATTTTTATTTTATTTTTGTATTTTTATCATCTATAAATTCTAAAGAATTTACATCAGATAAATTTGTTCATTATAGTATATTTGTCAGGGTATAATGTCTAATTTTTTTTTCCAATAAAACAATTGACATTGACAACAAATAAATAGTCACATATGCATATTATTACAACTGATGGTTTTAAAGGTTTGAGACTTGAGTATATTAATATTAATAAAGTTTTAGGACTAATTGATGTTTTTGAATATTAAAAATATTTTGACACATACTTCAGAACCATACCAAATAAAATATTTCTAAATATGTTTATTAATAAATGCCCAGTTCTCTTAAAATAAAATATACATTTTTTAATTATTAATTTTTATTTAAAATGAATAAATCAAAAGATAATAGAAGAAACCAAAGATCGAATATATTAGAAACACGATCTAATAAGTAAGTATTATTAGAGAACCCCGAGAAACGTTGGAAACCATTAGTTTTCAAGTTTGGTTTTTATTGCTAATATGTACGACTCATGATGATGACTTCAGATAATTAAATTTATATATTTGAATCATTTTTACCTGGGTACTACATAGTTTCATCAAAGAATTCACTTCGTTTCTGCTGTTATAATATTACATTCTTTAATAAAATAAATATTAACACGTATATAAACTTTTTTCTTATGCCACCAAGAACTCTTTACACATCATTGTGTTACTTTCCTTCTTAAAAGGACCACGAACTAAGAAATCTTCGAAAATCACATGACTTATATTTTTTTTGTTATCGAGTTTGTGGGATTCGGCAACCATATTAATACAAATTTGAAAGAAATCATAATCAACAAAAAAAATTAGCGTTATATATAAACTCAATAAGTCGGTCACTCAATAAGTCGGTTGATCTATATAAAGTCGGTCAATCACTTTTAGCCCAAGTATAATTAAATGAATCACGATAAGTCGGTATCACGCGATATTCCATTATGTGAAGGGTCATCATTACTATTTTAGTAATGTTGATTTAATAATATTTCGCATGATTATTTGTAATAAAATATCTGATGTAAAAAAACTATTTTTATTGTTCATTTTTTATAATTTAGAAGGAAGAGAGCATTCTCACTTGTGAACTACATTCATATTTTATTTTATAATGCATAATCACACATTCATTTTTTCTTGTCAAGTAATTTTAAAAAGAAAACTTTTTTCATTTTAATCATTTGATGAATAATACATTAATATTTTATTATCTCAGCAGTTGTATCATCGATTGTATCATTCATTTATCATGAATAATGCATTAATATATTACTATCTTATCAGTTATAATCAAGAATTTAGAGAACATTCTTGTCTAATCACGAACAATACATCTGTATTTATTTATCTCATTTTTATCATTTTTATATCATCATTTATATCATCGATTATCTAGTGCGAAGAAATACATTTGTATTCCTATTAAATTTTTATTATGTTCGGAATATGTATAAAAAAGATCGATTTCACAACCTCCTAATGTTTGAGATAAAAAATAAATAAATAAATATTTAAAAAATCACGTGAAACTCGATAACTTGGTTCTCTCGATAAGTCGGTCACAGGAGTCCGCACTGACATGACCAACTTATCGAGTTTACATATGTATAGAGTTTTTGATTTTTTCTGTAGTTATTTTATTTCTAAAATTATAAACATTTTTAATATTTCAATTAATCTACATGACACGAAATCCTCACTAATATTTGATGGATTCCTAAACTGTACAAATTACTGAATTAAAAAAAGTTGATGATGTAATTATTAAATATAATGGATTTTGATTTCGGGGAAATGGTTGTATTACATGTATTGTGAATTTGTTACTAATGGGTATTTTATTACTGAGCCTGGTGATAATGGATCAGAGGGAGGGGGAGGGGGAAAAGACATTTGTATGTTATGAACTGATGATGAGGCTTTTTTTTGCCTATTTCTATAATATAAAACGAAAATCCCAACTGATACAACAATAATCAAAATAATACCAAGTACAATCACAACTATTAAAATCGTTGTAGGACCAGAACTTGGATCTGATGTTGATGCTGATGCTGATGCTGATGCTGATGTCGATGCTGATGCTGATGTCGACGCTGATGCTGATGTTGATGTTAAAGCTGTTGATGATGTTTTACTGCTAGGAGACAGACCAGGAAATGATTTTACCCATTTGTAATCAACTATATTAAGTATTTGAATTGAATTACTTGTTTTAACAGGTGGCCCAGCATTATTTGTTATATTACCTAAAGTACATAAATAATGTTAATATACATATACATATGCACTTACATATATTATCATCATTATTAATTTATTTATTTACCAAATGTTACCACCATATAATTTCCAATTAAGTTTGCTTGATGGCGTGTAAGTGAGTTGATAGGAACTTCTGGTGTTGTTACTGGAGGTAAGATCCATTTAAAAGGTTTTGTAGTTGTGTCTAATACAACTAATTCAGGGATAGGTGTTGTATATTGTGCAGGTGTAGTTCCTCCATAGACTATTACTTGACCACTAGCAGCTAAGAAATAAATATATGAAATGAAAAAATTTTTTTTTTTTAATAATGATAAGAAACAAACAAACAAATATTTAATTATTATTATTATTATTATTTACTATATACAGCTGTATGTCCAATACGGGGATCAACAACTGGACCACCAACTATAGTCTAAACAATACAGAAAAGATGATTAATATATTTTCCAACTAAAATAAATTTCTCCTGTTAAACTAATAATTACCATTAAATCCCAAGTGTCGGTTTTAATATCATATAATGTAAGCTTTGTTTTAAATAAATAATAAATTAATAATAAATTAATAATTATACATTTTTATTAGCCATTATATAGTTACTATTTATTACATTATTCATAGAAACTGTAACACCATTAGTAGATTCATCTCTTCCACCAATAAAAACAATTACTCCATTAGCAATCAATACAGCAGCATGGTCAATTCTAGGAGGTGGAATATTTGGGCCAGTTTTTCCAATTTGACTCCAGGATAAATTATTTCCATCCAGAATAAAAAAGTTGTTAAAATAAATGTTAGTAGGAACACTCAGATCATGTAGTCCACCATGAATATATAATTTGCCAGTCGATGGATCACTAACACTTGCAAATTCTCTACGTGTTTCAGGTGCCATTCCTTGAAAAGCAGGTGGGTTTGTTAACCATTGATTGCTTTTAAAATCATAAGTGTAAACTACACTCTTCAAATTAAAATCGCCAGTTACAGTATCACGCATGATACCACCAAATAAAAATATTGTATCATTCTTAGTGTTGGAACTAGCTTTAGCCCATGATGATAATACTGGCAATGGTGAAGTTGCAGTTAACTCCTTCCATGGTGGAGTTGTTACATCAAATGGTTGTGACAAATCAAGAGAAAAAAATTCTCTTGATGATAGACCATTAGCAAAACCACCTATAACATACAAGTTATTGTGAACAATAACAGTAGAATGTACAAGTCTTGGGTCGGTTGGAGCTGAATTTACCACTAAAGATATGCATTTGAGCAATATTAAAAATATTAAAAAATTTTTTTTAAATGTCATTGTTTTAAATTAAATTAAAAAAACCCACCACATTTTATGAATTGTTTATATATATCCAAGATTCCCTTGTTGTAAGGATTCAATTATAAATATTTATTTGTTACTTTCAGAACGTCGCATGTATGCATTGTTGAACATCAATTGGCTGATGAGAATTATTTGTGTGACTTTAATTGATTTCATTGGTTAATTGACACAACAGGCAACTTTAAAGTAATAGTAACAGAATCAGTGTTGAAAATTCAATGCCCGCAATGCCCGTGTGTAACATTACACGCCAATCAATTTTTTAATTTTTGGAGATAGTTTCTAAATTTGTACTAGTTACACAACGAAATTTCAACACTGAACAGAATTCCTGTTTAATATAATAACTTGCAATGACTAGTAATTATTTAGCTATATTCGGATAAATATTTGAATGTTTATTATTATTATTATTTATTATTATTATTGTTATTATACAAGAATATTCGAATATTCAATGAATATTCTGTTAACATATACGAATATTCCGTTACATATATATTCGATATTACATACCAAATCAGTCGGAAATGACCCGTTAACAACAATAATAGTGATTTTAATCATGAGCACAATGTTTAACAATAATAAATTTTACTTGAATAAAACGAATACTTTGAATAAAACGAATAATTTGATAAAACAATAACAATAAGACAAATAAAACGAATAAAACAGCGAATAATTTGAATAAAACGAGTAATTCAAATAAAACGAATAAGCGAATAAAGAGAATAAAGAGAATAAAGAGAATAAAACGAGTAATTCTAATACTAATTCCAATACTAATTACAAAAAAATGAAAAATTCGAATAATAATCTGTATTATTATTACTATTACTATTACGAATAGAAACTTCGAAATATTAATAGAATATTAAAAAAACTAGTAACTAGGTCACGTCTCCAAAACAGATTGGACGGCCATAATTTGAAATGTAGTGCTGAATATTCATGAAAGTATCTGGACACCTGTTTTTACTAATTATAAAAAACTTACATAGTAACATAAAATTTTAGCTTAGTTTTGATAAATATACTGACATTCTTAACTTCTAAAAAAATTTTAAAAAAAACCGAAAATGATGATCAACAAAATATTTACTTTTCAAAAATATAAATAAAAAAATGAAATATTAATATCGAGTTGGTCATTGCTAGAAATACATGCTTTAATCCTTCTAGACATGCTTTCTATTAATTTATAGTAAGTTTCGTATGGAATTCTTGCCACTCTTCTTGTAAAGCAAGCTTCCAATTCATTGGCATTTTTTGGGTATTGTGTTCGTTTATCTAATCGCCTCCTTAGTTCACTCCAAAGATGTTCAATTTGATTAAGATCTGGGAATTGTGAGGGCCAATTAAGTACCTTAATGAAGGCCCAAATTTTTCCTCTTCGTTTTTTGGTATTTTTAAGATTAGAAAAATTTTTTTATCGATCTTGATTTTTATAAATGCGGTTTTACAAATTGATGTAAATTTTCATTTTTATTATCATGTAGAATTTTCGAGCAATTGAAATAAACAACGAATAATATCGCAATTTTTGTCGAATTTCGGTTAAATTTTTCTAGACGTTTTAAGAATATCAAAATTTACATGCATACTCATCAAAACCTAAGCTACATTTTAACAAATTTTATGTATAGTTATTATGTGAGTTTTTTTATAATTAGTAAGAACAGGTGCCCGGATACTTATGTTTATATTCATAACATGATTAAAATCACTAGCAATAACATTAGAAAAAAGAACATAATTTGACCCATAATATATACTAACATTAAAACTGTCTACCGTAACGAAATTAAATTTTACCAATCAATTGATTTAACTGATCAACTGGTTATTTATAATTTATAATATTTAATGTTGTTTATATTATTACCATCAGGCTTATTATTTGTGATCGAACTTAATCTATTATTACGCAATCCATATATTACAACTTTTGCAAGGAATTTCTTGACAGAAAAGAAAGATGTCAAGATTTCTTTAACTAGAAAGTAGGACAGGGATTTAAAGATAAAAATCACGCCTAGATATAAATTGAGTCTTACGGCTTGTGTAAATGTTTAATGCTGAATATTGGTAATAGTAATAGTGACACCGAAATTATTACTGTTCAAAATTTTTCTCATTCTGGTTCTTTCCTTATTAGGAGATATATATGGTCCTAATAAACATCACTAATAAAGTTATGTAATTTATCTTTGTGCAGCAAATCACATGGATGTGAGTATATATATATAAATATATACAGTGTGTTTTTTTAATGATAGCTCTGACACAAGCATATACATAATAATTATATAAAAAATCGTACCAGTCTGTAACAAAAGTTCTGGAGATTATGTATATAAAGTTTCACACTTCCAGATTTTCTAGAATTTTATCAATTGAAAATAAAAGGAATTTGATTATTTGAAAAACCATTCAAATGTGTAAATTTCTTTAATAATTGCTCTAAAACCTACATAACAATATACTTCAAAACTTTTCTATGTTATAATCTACATAATTTTGGCTACCTTTTCATTAAAAACAATATTTTACAAACCACCATTTTTTTTGAAACACACACTGTATATAGTAAAACTATCAATATCGTTAAACCAAAAGAATAAAATAATCATTTTTTCTCGCAATTAAATTTCATCAACAAGGATAACAACGTACCGCTATAGCAAAGAATTGATACCGTATAGCAATTGTATAGAATTGAAGTGATGGCGATATTTGGAATTTGAAAGGAAAATGGTTAGTGAAGCATAGAATTAAAGTGAAAATTAAAATTCATGCAATTATCATGGATGCGACCTCACAATATGACTTTGTCTCTTGGAACATTACCTGGCTTGAAAGTTAATCATAGAGATATTGAAAATAAAATCAAAAGGATCATAATTCTATAAAGAGGATATTGAAAAGAAAACTGCACAAACTCAATTATAGCATCTTTCTCCAACAGTAGAGTCCTGCAATGAGCCAGGTCCCGTAATTTTTACCTGACCCATACCTGGAGTACAGTATGGGTTTGGACAGTTTGTATCATATCCTCATCGGGTACGAGTTTGGTATGCTGTGGATGGGTTTTGGTTTGGGTTTGGTCTTGGTGTGGGTTTTGAATAACATTACTAATTGATTTTTTTATGGCACTTAACCGTACCTAATTATAATATATATTTCCAGGTAGCTTTTGGTTAATACCGATTATTTTATGTTTATAGCCGAGTTTGGATTAACTTTTGGGCTACAGTGTTGCTAGCTGACAAGTAATAGTCGCGACTGGATTTCGTCCGTAAACCATTATAGCATTAATGTTACTGTAATTAGATATAGTCATGACTTAATTCAACATTTTCAGATTTTTTATTACAAAATTTGTAAATATACAAATTTTTATTAATTCCAAAAATTACATAATAAATTTTTTAAAAAACAAATTGATTTTATTTACAATTCCTTCCATATTATGAAATTTCTTTTATTAGTGATAAAGTTTCCAGCAGATTGATTTTTTTGCTGCATGACAAGAATTGTGATTTTAGTTGTTTGACAATTACTTAAAAACTAGCTTTTAAACAAGCAATAAAAATTAATAATAAAATGTATTTTTGGGAGATGAAAGATCATGTTTTGTATTAGCCTTTGAGTATTTTTAACGAGTAGTTTGACGACTTTATTTATCCGATGATTTTTGATGAGTGTAGACTTAATTAATTACAGTTCTTCAGCCAGATTGATACAATACTCATCAATTAAGTTATTTACAAAATTATTTAACAATCCTCCTGTTTAATGTCACTTTCTTGTACCTAAAAGGCTTCGGCGAATCTGTAAGCACGCTTTACGGTACAATTAACAAAAAATAAATAAATGTAGTCCTTTTATGAGCAGAAAATGCTTTTTTAAAGCTCCTTTTTTATTTACTATTACTTTTCTTTATCCAATTAAAAGCTCTGTTAGTTTGATCTCTTTGTAACACTGCTTATCTAACAGCCGTACATACTTTAACGCAAGACAGTAATAGATGATAATGAATTGGTCAATAACTGTTAGCACTTTATAGTTTGTCAACTGATAATACCTTATACTTTGCCAAACACTTTTACGTTCACACTCTAACACTTGAACAAAAACTAAACCTTTGCTTTTTATCCAAAGCGAATAATCAAAAACTAATAGTTCTATATATACCACTCTGATAATCAAAGGACAATTAAACCTACCTACTGTTCTCTGAATTACAAAATTAAAATATTTATTATTGGATAATTAGGTCCTTTTACTTGGTCAAAAAAGTGTTCTTATTTATAATAAATTTGCGCTAAAATTCATTTCTTTGGTTTCACTATTAAAAAATTGAAAGATTATAGAGAAGAAGAAAGAATGTCCCATTTTTCGGTTTGCATGAATTGCTTGCTGCTGATTTTGAACATTCAAATATTGATGTGTATAGTTCGCGTATAATTACCCCATAATTTTTACGTGTGCGCTCTATACACATACTACATCAGGAAATTTTCCCCGCCATAATATTGTGTCCATAAATTTTAATATGTAAAGTTGTAATATTGCATTAAAAATCATGTAATATTTACACTCAATCTAATAATTGCATAAGATTATGGGGCCACCGTAAACTTACATCAGAAAAAATTTCTTGATGTATGCATATGCACTATACACACAATGTGTATTCACCACGTGCACTATGTGCGAAAAAAAAACAAAGTTACTGTGAATAACGCATCACTGTTCAAACCATATAATTTTCAGCTGCTTCTTGAAGGACTTCTTTTGCAGGTTTCTGGAAAACAGACATCCAAGTTCCAAATCTTGAATAACTTAATTGATCAATCTGCTTTGGAAGCAAAAGTTTATGAGCATCTTCCTCAGTTTCCGTTATTGTTCCTTACTATCATCATGGTTAGTATTATCATTGCGACTAATATCATAATCATCATTATTGGCTTCATTTGTTGTTGTCGTCGTCGTTTTGTCAACTACTACTTTAAACAACCTCCAGTTGAAAATTTACTTTAATCATTATTAGTTTCGAAGAATTCCCACCTTTTGTTATCTCCAGATACATTTGTGAAAGAAACCTCTGGCGCATTTCAGTTGTCATTGTCATTTTATCAACTTTGCATTGAGGATCTGATTGTTGAGATGTATTAATATTCGTATTCGTTAGATCAACTCAAAACTATTTTGCAAATTAATTTAAAAAATTCTTTGTTGTCCAATCACTCGTTTTTTTTTTATTATTATTAATTAAATATGACCTGATTTTTTCACCAGTTACATTATGATCCTTATAATGTAAATACATATTATGCAAAAAACTCAATTTTGGTCAGGGGTACTTAAGCTACCTTTTGCTAGAGAACCCCCAAATAAAATAAATGGCTTTTATTGCTTTTCCCTAAGTGAAATAATTAACTCATCGTCTGTTATAAAATCGCAGGGATAGTCAACATACGTAGTAAAATTGACAACAATTTGTACAATTGACACACATTACACTGCATCCAAGCTCACCAAAAAAAAAATTTTATTTGGTAGAATAAATTTCAGAGGTTTCAAAAATATAAAAAAATTATATTTTAACTTTTTGTTTTTTCTAACTTTTATATTGGGCATCGCCAGATTCCAAGGATTTTACATGTAAAATTGAATATTAAAAAACATAGAGAATTTTTTTTTTTGTTTCTATTTGTACTAAACATATAGAATATGGGTTTTTATTATGAAATCCCTTTTAAACAATAAATTTTCTACCTAAAGGATGGTTTTTTTATATTTAATATAAATATGTCAGCCATTGTCTTTTTATTCTTTTGATTATTATCAAAGTCCATTTTTTTATTAAAGCACTTATTATTTGTTATAAATAATATCCATAATATATGCTAGAATAAATATAATTTTTGAAATAAAAATTACTGTTTTTTATATGCGTTGAGATTCCCATTAACTTCTTTCTCTCTGTAGATCACTAATAGATTTCTACATGATTGGCGAAACACGAATTAATTTTATCAAATATTGTATTTTTCTACCCATAATCCCGACCTTGATTTTAAAGTTGTGCTTGACTATCGATACATACTTTCTTGAAAATTATAATGATACATAATGTTTTTTATTATACATATATGGGATATTGCATTATAATATTTTGTGTTAATGGGCATAAGGAAATTTTGCCCCGATCTGCAATATGTATTTATTTATTTTTTTGTTTTCTGGCGAATTGCGAGTTAATAATTTTATTTGGTTTAGCAAATTACACTAATTGTCCTTCCCCCTTTTGTATATGATATTATATTAAATGCAGGTTCGACAATTAAGTCAATTAGATGATAATGATAATAAATTTCATCAAGTTAGTAATTTTGAATAGGGGTTTCCAAATATAGATATTTATGCATTATACAAATGTTCCACACTGTTTATTGTTTATACATATAATAATAATAACGCTGAAAAAATATATTATCCCGAGAAAAATACTAATAATGGGCCTTTTTGTTACCATAATGAACAAAGGCGCAAAAAAATACACATGTAATAAGAGAAGTGTATTCTTTATATATATAAGAAAATATCATTCTCTCTCTCTTTAATGCTTGTAAAGCGATTTCAAAAGGCCGGTTTAACTTTGCAGCAAAGGAATTTTTTTTAATGGGTGTGAAATTAATCGAGTTATCATGGGCATCACATACGCAAATTAAAATATGCAAGTAATCTTTTATTCTTTCTATCTATAAATGGAAAAGATGAAAATCTGCCTGCAGTATACACCAGTAGTGTTTCTTAACCACCAACTATTTTATTATCGTCCCAATAAAAAAATAAGGCGTGTTAACCGTAATAATGTTCAGAACAATATTTAAAACCTTAAACTCTGATTGTGCGCGCGCAGCCACAAAAATTTTTTCGTCGGAAATATATTTACCGCGTTATTTTTTTAATAATAAATAAATGCACTGCATCATTGTTATCACAACAAAATTCAGAATTTGGAACCAAGTTGATTGTAAATAAATATCCGAAGTTAGAATTTTTTGTGAACAAAATTTCGCAATTTTTTTTTACTTTTTAATAAATTCGTTAATAGATTAATAAATAATTACCTTTTTGTTAGTTTTGATTATACCAATATTTATTTATTATATATATATATTTAATATTTAATTTTAATTTAATGTGTTTTTATTAAATAAGAGAGAAAAATTTCAAAATGACAAAATTGTTTTATGAACCAAAAAGAATAAATGAAAGGAAAGGGACTGAACCTCTTGCTTTAGTTTGCATGAGGTTTTCATGTTTAATAATTTCCATGATAATATTAATGGTATTTTTTGCTTTTATGGTATATTCTGTTGCCTCCGATGGAAGAATCACTACAAGCGTGATAATACCTAAACCATATATACCAATACCAGGTATTTATCGTATATATACGCATATATTTATACATTCCTTGATTAATGTTTTAATTCCTTATTCGAGATTAATAATTATTATTTGGATCGTTTAGATTTAGTAATAAATGCGAATTTTAGTTTTTCAATGGATTGTCAACTTCAATACCTTGGTAATTATTAATCAATTAACGATATCGATGATTTATATTATTACTTTAGGGAATTTTTTTTTTTTTTTGTAATCGAAATAATCTTAAATAATTTGAATTATTTTATTATTAGATGGCAGAGCAATATCTCAAACAGACAAGGATTCGTGTTCAAATTATATAGTGCCAACAGTATGTAATGAACCTGATCCTAATGATTTATCAAAGGGTCGATGCACAGGAAAATTTCAAGTCCCAACTGAACTTCTGGATGCACCTTTAACTGAAAGATTAAGTTTTAGTTTGCCTGATAAACGTTATGGCATTCAATTTTTAATCAATATCACTGATGATGTTCCTTATGATCCAAAATATGATAATGGTATTATAGTTAAAGCTTATGATCAAGGTAATTTTTTTTAGCTTTGTAATTGTTAATATTTACTATTACCATTATCTCATTAATTTGAAATTTATTTAAATATAGAATTTAATCCACACAGATTACCTGAAGCAGTAAATAATCTTATAAGTAAAATTGATCCTTGTTTTATTGATAGACTTGATAGTCTTAACTTTCATATGTTAGCCCATCATCAGGTATTATTAATTCAAATATTACATACATTATATATATTATTTTAATCGATTTATTAATTAGTTCGATTTTATTTGTTAATTTATAAAGATTAATAGAATGTATATTGATAGGAAGACAAGAGAATTTATTATACCGTCATTTTGGGAAGTGTTGGGCATACCTCCATTTTATTTCCTTCAAACTTATATTAATTCTAGAGTTGGTTAGTGGTGACAATAATGTTTGATTGATTGATTTAATGATGATAAAAAAATTTTTTTTATTGAATTTGATTTTAAATAAAAAAAACAAATTAGAATCTGCAAAAATACCCAGTATAGCAGATCAATTTACACCTAAAAATTATGGTACTTTGTTTGTTGGTACTTTTAATTGGATTGAAATAATAGAAAGAGATCTTAGGTGATTATTTTTGATATTTAATATAAAATTTTAAATTTGAAATTTTTTTACAACATAAACACTGATTTTTTTCTTCTTTTTTGATACAGAACTTATAATGTAAGTAAATATATTATTATGTGTGTATATTCTCTCATTCCATTTCAAAATAATCAACAATTTATTTTATTGTTATTTCTACAAGATACTGGATTCAATTGCATTATTATCATTATTTTATATAGTATTAGCTGGAATTTATGTTTGTCTATTCGGTATTGTTTTATACATAAATATTGTAAATGATGAATTTTTTTTTTTTTTGCTTTCAAAAATTTAATATTTACACAATATGTTTATACAGGTTGGTCTGCAGTAATGCCTTGGGGTATATGTCAAAGGACATGTTGTTCCCGCAAATCCAAAGCAAAACTATCTAAAAAATTTGCACCAAAAGGTGTACCACTTATGCCATCAACTTTAGATAATGATGTCGATAATTTAATGAAATTTTTGGGTTTAATATTACTAAGATCAACAAATTTCTCAATTAAAAATGATGAAGAGAACACTTCAAATTCTGATAATTATTCAACGTCAACTAAAAAAGATGAAAGAGATGAAAAAGACGAAAAAGACAATATTTCAAACGCTGAAACTTCTTTACAATCAACTAAAAAAGATGATGATGATACTTCAAATGCTGGAATTTCTTCACCATTGCCAACTAAAAAAGATGGGGAGAATACTTCAAATGCTGGAAAATTTTTGATAAAAATTAAAAACAAAATCAAACGTGAGAATTCAGTTGGTCAAAAGGTTAATATGTCAAACCTACAACCTTCAAATTCGAAAAATGGAAAGCATGATCAAACTTTGGACGAACAGGATGGAAATCCTATTCTTACTGACAAGTTACCGATAGATAAAGATCAATTTGAAGATTCGCCATCAGGACCTGAAAAAGAAAAACTAGCAGATAAAATAATTAGAAAATTTTCTAGAAAAGGTAAAAAGAGTACAAATGACCCAAGTAATATCAAAAACGATGAAGATGACGACAAGATTGAAGTTCTTCAAGATAAAAATGGCAGCGTTGATGTGCCAGAAATAAATCCAAATCAAAGTGATAGTTCTAATAATAATTCGCCAGGAGCTAATCCTTCTGAAATTGAATTACTTCAAACACTTGTAAATATTGTTCAAGACGGAGATGGCAACGTTATTGATGTCACTAAGTCAAGTCGTAGTAGTATGATTAGTCCTGATGAGCTTAGAAAAAGTACAGTGTTTGAAGATGAAAATGCCAGTACTATTGATGTACCAGAAACCAGCAGGTCAGGTCGTAGTAGTATATTTACTAAAGATGAGGATGACAACTTGATAAATCCTGATGATGTTACAAGAAGTATATCAATTGTTGCGGATGAAAATGGCAATATTATTAATGTACCAGAAGCCAATAAGTCAAGTCGTAGTAGTATAATTGTTAAAGATGAAGATGGCAATGTGATAAATCTTGATGATATTAATCCTGATGATATTAGAAGAGGTATATCAATTGTTGAAGATGAAAATGGCAATGTTATTAATGTACCAGAAACCAATAGCTCAAGTCGTAGTAGTATAATTATTAAAGATGAGGATGGAAATGTGATAAATCTTGATGATATTAATCCTGATGATATTAGAAGAAGTATAGCAATTGTTAAAGATGAAAATGGCAATATTATTAATGTACCAGGAACCAATAGGTCAAGTCGTAGTAGTATAATTGTTAAAGATGAGGATGGCAATGTGATAAATCTTGATGATGTTAATCCTGATGATATTAGAAGAAGTATAACAATTGTTGAGGATGAAAATGGCAATGTTATTAATATACCATAAGTTATTAGGTCAAAAACGGATTAGTATTAAACCCTGAAGATATTGACCCTAATGATATTCAAATTATTCAAAGAATTGAAATAAATAAATAAAAATTTAAAATTGAAAATAAAATAATTAGAATCGAATAATAATTTATGTGATTGTTAAATTGTACAATCTTTTTAATTATTGGATGTTTATTTATTATGTTAATGTAAATTTTATTAATATTTTACAAACTACAAGTACAAATTAAAGATAGGTTGAGAAAGTAATTTTCTTTAAAAAAGTAGAAACTCTTTGTAAAGAATTTAAAGTTGGGATTACTATGCGGCCTTGTAATATTATTGTAAATGTAAAATTTTACTACCATCATCATCATTATTGTTATTATGGAATAAGTTCATAAAGATTTTCCAATTTTTGTTATATCAAATTTCTCCAAAAATTACGTGCGCATTCATTTCTAATTGTAGTCTTCTTTGTTTACATCGTTTCTGATACAAATCAAGTAAGGAAGAAACAAATTCATTTTGCATATGATTCTTAAAAGAACCATTTCTGTAAACCTTTTACAAATTAAGAATAATCGGCGTATCCACGGAACTTTCAGGCTTCTATAGGGTCGGGATTAGTATATATATATATAATAAATAACACAAATTTAATGAACGAAAAAAGCACACATTTTTTTATTTTCTTCCTCTGATCAATATATAACACGACTGGTCAATTAATTAATTAATGTTTTATGTTTTCTCTAATTTGAATAATCGCCTAATTGAAATCTTTTAAAATCATATGACGATGCACTTATCCTACGTCCACCAAACCATCTATTATCCAATTTTTGTTTGGCTTTTTCTGCAGCTACAACATATGACAAATTTATTTTTGTTATTAATTATTAATGTATATGAAAACGAGAAAGACAATATAATGATGTTAAAATAAAGAAACACAAAAGCTTACTTGCTCCATCATCATATTGAACAAAAATTTTCACCGATTCCTCTTCGCTTTCAAATTCATTATCATCCTTACTAAGATGGACTACTACTTTAACTACCTTACCATAATTGTTGCACTCATCACGAATTTCATCTTCGAGAGCTTCATCAATTTCTGATGGGACAACCGCATTACGAATTATCAAAACAGGAGATGACTAAAGAAATTATTATTGAAATAAATTATTTGTGTGTTGATCATTATTGTAATTATCATCACCATTAACATTATTATCCATTTACATCTTGTCTTGCCAACTTTTGCATAATGGCATAACGTTGACTGGAGGTAATGCTCATATTTTCTTCTTGAGCAACTGATTCCACAGACGTTTGACTTCTTGATACAATATCTACTGCTATTTTTGCTGCTACATTTTGAGCTTTAACAGTTGCAGCTACAATAAAACATAAATGTAATATATAATAATGTAAGTCTAACATCTAAATCAAAATTTATTATACTAAATTTTATTAACTAAAAAAAAAAACCTGCTGCGGACAGTAAAGACGACGACGACGACGATGATGACATCCCTCCAAAAAATGATAATGATGATGCTTGTTGAGGTGGTAGCAGCGGTGGCGGTAACTTCTCAATTGACTTCATACCTTCACTAAGAGGCCCTCCAATTACTGCTTTCCTTACACGTAACATCAACCCTCCCAATTCAAAATTATTCATGGATGTTACCGATGTATTTGTAGCAATTTCATCCTCAAACTCAATGAATCTATATATGCATAGAAATTGGTAATGATTTTGTTAATAATAATTTGTTGTTTAAATGGTAAAAATATACAAATGTATGTGTATGTGTATGTGTATGTGTATGTATTTATGTATGTGTGTTTATGTATGTGTATTTATGTATGTGTATATATAATATTCTAAAATTTAAAAATTTTTTGTTGTTTTTTCGTCAAGGTGAAAATTCATTGAACATACTGAATGGTCAATGTTGAACGTTTAAGATCCAAATGAAATTCTGAATAATATTATAATCACCATCTTTCGATGTATCCAGTGTATATATATAAAGTGATTTATGTAAATAAAAATAGAATAGAATAGAAAAATAGAAAAGATATAATATAGTATTGAAATATGGAAATAGAGTACATAGAGTGCATAAACAAAAGTAATGAGTTATAATTCAAAAAAAAAAAATCTGTAAAATTATAATAATGAATAATCAACTATTGACAAATATTCCATATTTTCAAAGATTATCTGTGTAAATTTAATAGAAGTTATATATATAATTAAAAAAACCCCCTCGATTATATAGACTTTATAAATTTAATTTATTTTAATCTTCATAATGACTAAAATAAGATCTTAGTGTTCCAATATAGAAATCCTAAATAACAACAACAAAAATTCATCATCGTAATAATAAAAATAAAATAATAAATCTTACCCATATCCTTTATGTTTTCTTGTAATAAGATCAGGCTAATATTTAATAAAACAAAAATATAAAAATTTTTGGATATAAATTCCCTTGATAAAACTTTAAACAAATAATTTACCATTAGAACGCATTGTGTGATCTTGCCAAATGACTCAAAAATACTCATCAAATCTCTTTCGCTTATGTATTCATTAACATTCGAAACATATATCCGAGTCTTTGGTGGTGGTAAAAATCCTATAATTCTTTATTTAGTATAACACAATATTCAAAATATCAAAACAAATATAAAACAAAACAAATAAAAAAAAAAAATCAATTAGCCTGACCAGCAGCTGTAGCAGCTGTATAATTATTTGGTCTACCAACTTTCAACTGTCTGTTATTATTGTTTATAAATGATCAAGAAAGAAATAATTATTTATTAGAAATTTTATAAAATATAAAATTAGTATAGTATACTAATAATAATACCTTCCGCCCAATTCAGCACCGTTCATTGTTTCAAGAGCCAATGATGCACCCTCAGGAGTTTCATATTCAATAAAACAAAATCCTTTATGTTTGCCTGTAAGTGGATCTAAAGACATGCTGATGCTTTTTATTGTACCAAATTGACCAAATACAACACGTACATGTTGTTCAGTTAACTCAAAATTAATTGATCCAACATAAATGCGTGATAATACAGATATAGATCGAAGATCCATTATCCCAGATGTTAATCCCGAGGCAGAAGTTGAAAAATAATATGAATCAATCGGTGATAACGAGTCGTTCCTTTTTTCAATTGTTTGTAATAGCTATAGAAATAAATTTAAATCATGATTATTTAATGATAAGTAAGTAGATATATACAACTGATGCATTCTGTGAATATGAAGAAGGCCTTTTCAATAATATAATTATTAATTCCACAAAAATTCTTACTATTAATATCATTAATGCTAATATTAAATCACTGTGCTAATAATGCTAATACTAATGCTAACATCAACTTTATCATTTTATTATTGATTAGAAAGAAAAACAATTAGATTTTATGAGAGATCTATTCATACCACAGTTTGAATTTCTTTTATATAGGCCTTTGCTTTCTCTAAAGCAGCCTTTTGTGATTCATTTAAATTATAGATGTCATCTATCTGAAGCCTATTATTAGATGGTTGAGAATTTGTTTCTGTGGAATTTGATGAATTGGATGATAACTCGGCACTTGAAGAAGCTTGAGGTGATGGGATTGTGGCTTCTTTGGGTGTTGTGGTGTTTTCATTAGATGAGGATTCCATTTTTATTATTATATTTTTGAAAAATTTATCATAATAAATGACTTTCAAAATAGTTACACAAATCTATCCATATGCAAAATTTTAACGTATGTTTTGCATTTTAAAATGTTGACCTTTACATCTGGTCTAATCTGAAATTCAACTAATTCACTTTACTTTGCATAATAAATTTAACAATAGGTGTTTTGTTTTAAACTCTCTGCAATGTAGTATGTCGTAATCCGGATAGGTTATTTACGTTTAAATAAATGTTCACCGAAACTGAAGGCAGGCAGAATAATATATTAGTACTACTGTAAATGGAAAAGATAAATAAAATTAAGAGTTTTCAAACCATAAAAGATTTAAAGTAAACCAAGTAAATTAATTTCGCCGAATATCAATGAACTTAATGTACCTTTTAATGCTTCAAGATTATTGAGAAAAAGATTATTATTATATTTAATATATATATCTACTTCAATACTATTTTTAAAGATAATATCCAAGAATCAAATCATGAATAAATTATGAATGATGAATAAATAATCATATAACATAATAATAACAATATATCTATGTATGTATGTATCAATATGAGTATATATTATTATAATTGACTTTTCTCGTGAATAAAATTTTTTTTTGATCGATTTTTAATTTTTTTCCAAATAAATCCGTTAGGTGGTTACTTTATTATTATTACCATCATTATTTAAGAAATCATTAAAGATTTTTTCCTAAATAAGTTAAAAAACCCCATTTTTTGTACCATAATTGATCAATCAATTTTTTTGCAATTTATTAAAAGTTATTTATAATTAAAGATCTTATATATTCTAGTAAAAATTATGATAAATATAATAATAGTAAAAACATTATTTTTTTGGTCTCATTGGAGCCAATGCTCTAACATCAGCAAATTTTGCTTGACCTTCTAAAATCATTTCTGCAATAACTTTACCTGTACCAGATGAATTTAAAATTCCCCATACTGAATGTCCTGTCGCAATATATACACCATCTAACCATGGTATTTTCCCTATTAATGGCTTATCATCATCTGTTATTGGCATATAACAACATTGTTCTTTTATAACTGGTGCACATCCTAAGACATCTGGAGAAACTGTGTTTACATTATTTTTAAGATTTCTGATAGCTACTGGATTTGGTATGTACCCATCTGCACTTTCTGGAAGCGTTGATTCATCACATTCTCCTGAAATATAAACTTCCCCATCTGGTCTTGGATAAATTTCTGGTTCTGCAAATCTATGTCCTAAATTAAGTGAAACAAAACATACATGTGCTGATATAGGAACAGATGGTTTTAAAACAATACTATGTGCCCTTTGTCCTGATACATCTGGTAGTTGAAAAGCTCTATTTCCTTTTTTCACAAGCCATGAAAGTACTTCTCCACTCCATGGTCCCATAGCAACAACAACAGTGTCAGCTGCTATGATTTCATTTGTTGTTGAAATTTTTACACCTGAGGCTTTTGCCATATCAAATTCTATTCCATCAACTCGCCCAATTATAACTTTTGCTCCTCTAGACTCTGCCTCTTCCATCAATGTCATTGTAAATTTATATGGATGTAATTGAGCTGTTGTCTGCTTAGTGCCAATATGCTTATACTTGGTGATCACTCCAGTTTTCAACCAATTAGTTGGTGGCTGTTTTACACTGCCTGCTTTTGTTGATGCTGAAACTGATAATGTTTCAACTAAACGATAATCATATCTTTTTTTCCCATTTAAAGTTTTAGCTAATTCTGAATGTAACTTGAAACTTTTCCTGGCTAAATCTTCAAGGGGTCCTTTATCACACCAATCATAGGTTAAAAATCCTCTTTTTTTTCATATATAATGATGGTGGTGATGATTATATTATTAAGATGATGACAATCATAAGTATAAAATTAATAAAGTTATAATTATGTAATATATATAGCTTTTTTTTTAAAAATATAAAAATATTAATATAATATTAATAATTTTGATAATAAATATAAAAGAACTTTTACCCTGCTTTACCAGAAGCTGCACAGCCAATAGCAGTTTGTTCAATAACTGTCACTTTTAAGTTAGGATCTCTGTTGAGTAAAGTTATATGATATGCTATAGAACAGCCTATAACACCACCTCCAAGAATAACAATATGGCGACTATTACTAGTTTCTGACATATTTTCGATTTATATTTATAAATAATATAATTTTTGGTTCATTCTATTTTTAAAATACTACAGTTTAATTTTTTATTTTTCATGAAAAAATTTATTATTAAAAAGATCAATAAAAATTATCACATGACATTTCAAAAAACTTTTTTTGTTCAAACAATATTTACATATATAAATGGCGAAAAAACATATTTCCCAACAAAAAAAATTCATAATGCTGTTATTACCTTTGATGAATATTAACAGATTCACAATCCTTCATCAACAACAAAGACGGTTTATATTTCAAACATTACCTGTTTCACGTCGTCTTTATGACATTTTGGAAATACCTTTAGATGCCGATAAAAAATTAGTCAAGTCACAGTTTTATAAGCTATCGAAAAAATATCATCCCGATTTGAATTTAAAAGATAATACAGCACATAAGAAGTTTTTATTAATAAATGAGGCATATTCAATATTGATTAATGATAAAAGTAGAAAAGAATATGATAGATCTATCCTATTTAAAAACAATAATAATAAATCATTCTCACGATCATGGAATCATTCACAATTTTCTTATTCAAATAGACCGAATGTTAGAAAACATACACATCATAATTTTCATGAATCAAATTTTAGGAGAAGAACTTCACGTACTGATGATACTCATAAAACTAATAATAGTAATACATCATCATCGTCATCAAAAGATTTTAAAAATAAATTTAATTTTCAAGAACATTATCAAAGACATTATAGTGAGGAATTGAGAAGAGCAAATTCAGAATCTAGTAAAGAAAAAAATCAATCTTTGGAAAATCAATTAAAAAGTAGTCATGGTAGAACTGTATTAAGAATTGTTTTAATAGTTAGCACTCTAGTATTATTCGGAAGCAGTGGAGGAGGAATCATGATTTAAATGAGTAATATTTTTGCATTTGTATTTGTATAATATATACATAGTAAATAAATTATATAGAAAATTTAATATTTTAAAATACAAATACACATATTACTATTATATGATGATGATGATAATGATGATGATGATGATAATATGATCTTTTTTTTTTCTTGTTAGTTTTACCAATCAGGAATCTGATTAAAATCATATCCATCATATCCTTTATAAGCATAGTAAGCAAGCCTAACATGATAAAAACCTTTCAAAAGAATATATATATCAGAATATTATTATTGTTATTATTATAATTATTCAAATAATAATTTTAAAAGAGAGAAAGGAAGATAAACTTTACCTGGTATAAATAATAAAGATCCAAGGAAAAGAATAGGTTTTCCTCTATCATCCCAAGCCTAACAAATTTTATTTTTAAATTTTATTTTTATTTTTATATATATTACAATAATAATTATTATTATCGTTGCTGTTATACCTCATCAGAAACAATACCAGCCATAATAAGAGATCCAAAAATAATCCCTAAAGATCCAACTACAAATAAACCAGCTGCTAAAGCAATTGATTTCCACGGAGCTTTTTAAAATAAAAATAAAAAATCATCTTAATCCCTCAAATGTTTATAATTCTTTCGCTTCTATTTTTAATATAATATTCACCTGGATATAGAGGTCTTTGGAACTGTTCGTCTGTATAACCTGTGTCATCACTTAAATTGATGTACCTCCTAGAATTTCTGAAATTACGAAAAGCGCTCATTTTTTTTCTTTTAAATAAATTATAATATTAATATGGGATTATAAATAAGAGAATTAAATTTAAATATATAAAAAAGGAAACTCTAACCGAAAAAGGGCATTTGTGTAAATCATCTCCTAAACAGAAAAACCCCCAATCAATCAATTACAATTTTTACAATTACAATGGGATCTCAAAATGGCCTGGACATATAAAAGGATCACAATGTGAAAAAGTTCATGACAATGTGGTAAATAGTGGCGATCATCTAAAGATACTTTACTAAACATCCCAAAAATTTTCTATATTGCAGTCGTCTAGACATGAAAAACAAAAGCTATGATGGTTTAAAATTGGGTAACCTTACTATGTTATTTGAAATTTCGGCAATCATCTATATCGATTATTCACGTGACAAAATCGCAATCTTTTACAAATTTGAATTTAAATTTTCATATTCACTAAACACTCTCTCCTATGAAATTTATATTTTTTTACAGCAAATAAAGCCGCCCTTCCTGAAGTTCTAATCTGTCTAATCTGTAATCACCCACATCTCTTTGCAAACTTCTAATTTTACAAAGTGACACTGAATTTAATGTAAATGTGACTGTTTCCTGTAATTATTTAAATGAATAATTACAGTTCTTTCTGGAATAATTTTAACAGCACTCCAAAACTTTTGATATAGTTCAATTCACAATGATATTTGAGATAAAATGTCTCCTAATTGTGATTTTTGTGACAAGAAACCAGGCTCCAATAGGACCCCACAAACTTCATAGATAGGTTACTTCGCAGCTGGGTCAAATTCATATATAAATTAAATTTTTTGTCAGTAATTATAATAGAGTCGAATTATTTAAAATTTTTACAAATGTAACAATCATTAATAGGGTCAATCTGTGGATCAAATTATTATGTACATCAAAAAAGATTGGGTTTAGGTTTAATAGGGTCAAGTTATATATTAAACTTAATTCTGGTCTGGGTCAAATCATATAACAAACAGTAATTTTTGTTACTGACCCATCTATGAAGTTTGCGGGGTCCTGTTCTAATTATAAATTTCGATCTGTACAACAATCGACAACTTCAAAACCTTGCGGATTATTTTTACATGTTTTAACAACCATCTTTCCACAGACCTTGTTCTTCTAATGTAATTTTTATACTTTCAAGCTCTAAATCATAATTATTTTTTTTTTAAAGCAAAATTTCAAAGTTGATAATCATCAGACTATTTGAATAGATTTTCTTTGAAGCAAGATCGGCACAAAATTTTTCGGCGAGTGAAGCAGCACGTGATGTCTTTAGATGATTAACGCTGTTTTTGATTTATGGTTTACTAATTCATAATATAGTGTGTAAAAAACCTTTAAATATTGAAAATTGCTTTCAATATTAAAAGCTGCAAAGTTAATTTTAGTTTTTTAACATTTATTACTCCAAAAAATTTTGTCGGTTTTAATTTGAATAATCAACTCGTAAAGAATATTTTTTTATCAAGTTGACTTTTGAGTTTAAAATCATTATCTTTTAAAAATAATCTATGTGAAGATAAAATGAATAAAAGAATCAGAATAAATACCTTTTTTTCAACGGGTGAGAAAGTATTGAAGTGTTAATAATTAACATTGAGGTTTTTATATTACCTCCTTCTCCTAACAGGCACAAAAAGACATAGAAATAAAAAAACCACAAGTTAGTCAACACTATATTTAAAATAAAACAAAAACTATATGTAAAATTAGTATCATCATACAGGAGAATAATGGTTTATTAGACAGAGAAAAATTCAAAATAAACAACTTAGCTGCATGTGGTAAACCAAAAAATGTAACAGATTTTGATTGGTATACATTACAATCAACACTTTGGAAATCTGGAAATCAGGTCAGGTATTAAAGCTTTTAAAAATTTACATAATTATCTTGATTTGTTGAATTAATTGGTCAAATCAAGAGTCCAAAATGCATTCTGCTTTGAATAATATATTATTACGTTATTCCAAGTATGAATGGATCTTCATCCTTCTTTGTCTCACACTGAAATAGGCAAAGAAAAATTTTTTCTTTCCAATTTGGTATTTACATTATTACAGTGTCCATGCTTGTCTTCTATCTGGAGTATAAAATTGGCAAACATTTTTATTGCGCAAAATAAATTTTAGAAAAAAAGTTTTGCTAAAGATTCTTGGTTACCACAACGAATCCCTGTAATGGTGGATGATTTTTGTTTGGTTCCATGCATCTGCTGTGGCAAGGTTTGACTGTAGTCGATATCACTTTTCACGAAATTGTTTTGCAAAAATCAAATTTTTGACCTTTATCATATCTCTCACTGCATGTTTAGCACATACTCTTCTGAAGTAACATTGATCAAAAGAAAATGATGATTAATAAAAAGACTTTCGATTTTTTGGTAGATAAACGAACAGGATATTCATTTAAAGTATTATAAGAAAACAAAGGAACGAAAAATAGATTTTATGAAACGTCAAAGCGTATTAAGATGGATGTATGTATTGGGGAAGAAAGACATGAAAAATGAAAAAAATTTATATAAAGTGCTCCCCGACTCTTTTTATTAAAAAATTATTAATCAAATTTCTGGATAAATTTCCAATATGTAATATAATCTCCAATCAATATGAAAACCTCGAGTGTTATGTTTTTATTTATCCCAGAATTAATTCCCTATATCATTGTTAGGAAAAAAAGGATAAGTATGAATTTTGCTGAAGAATCATTCTCGGTCGCATTGCTTGGGTTTAGAACGATGATGGGAGATAAACGGCCTTTACTTCGCGAAAAAAAGCTTTGGCGGTGGGTTAGCAACATGAGAATCAACGTTGAAAATTGCCCATAAAGGTTAAGTATTTGCATATTTGGAATTAATCAGATACTGGAAGGCGAACACAAAAAAATTATGGGAGATGTGAAAACGGAAAACGAACTGTGGATATTAATTCCCCCGAATATGAAAAAGAATCAAATGGGTGCTTTGCTAATGTTCAAGGTCCTTTGTGAATCGGAGGAGGAATAGAGGAGTCTCTCGAAGACAAAAATTGGAATGAAATTAAAATTGAAATTAGATTTAACAATAATCTTGATGGCTTTTCAGCAAATCGACGGAAAATCAGGACTTTCATTTCTTCCAGCAGCAAAATTCTCATTGTGATGAAATAATAAAGAATCTGATATGGCTGTTGATTATAGTATTAAACGAATAAACAACAATCATCTCAATAATTCTTTACTTGTAATAATTAACACTTTTTTTAAATGAAGATATTATTTTGTTTGTTGTGTTAAAAGATTTATTTATAAAATTTGAAATGTGATTCATCACGTTAGCGGTGCTGTATATTAATATCATTTAAAGACAAAGATAGTTCTGCAATTGATTTAGATGATGATGACTCTACAAATAAAAAATCGAAAAATTACTCAAAGGAATTTGAGCGACTATAATTATGGTCCAGTTGATCTAAAAAGTTAATATAATGTCACTTCTTAATCATCACAAGGAAAAATTGGTTTCGTATTTAAATTTTATATTGAATTGATTTTATACTGATACTTTGACTAATTCTGACAGAGATAGTAGAAAAGATTATTTTTTTCATTAGTCAAAAAAAAAAAAGGAAATTTCTGAAAATGTAAAAAAAATTTATTTATAATTTTTGAATTTGCAATAAATAAAAAAGAATGTAACAAATGTAAATTGACAAGATACCCTGATAGATTCTGTAAAGGTTATATTAGATTACAATTACAGAGTCTTTTCAATACTTGGACATCTGGAAATAACCGGTCGCGTTCATCGACAAACACCTCACTGACAGTTAGTTTACATGTGATGATGGTGATGGTGATGATATTGTCACTGATTATTTTGGTGATTATAGTGATTGATGATAATTATTGTTTTTAATAGTGTGAATCAGACAAATTAACAATATATGCTAATGAATAGTATTGAGGTTTCGTTTGAATCAAAACTCGGGAAATATTTTGTTTTTCTGACGATGATTCTTTTCAAGATGCATGAAATTCAGTCATTAATATCCCTACAAACTAATTAATATCCAAATTTTCTTTTTATCTAAATTTCCTGATGCTTCTGAAATCATGATTTCTATAATCAATGCGTATGTTACGCTAAAATCATATAAACTGTAAACGAAACGTGTGATTGTCGACAACGAAATAACAACAATGTCAAATGAAAACATCTTTGCCAGACTATATTTTAGAATGGATACCTTTTGAGAAATTTGAAGAAGATGTAACAAAGCTAACTGAAGGTGGATTTATATACTGCTACATGGACAAGATGAAGAATAATTGATTAGAATGAAAAGGTTAGTATCTTGGTGCTCAAGATATAATATTAAAAAGTTTAAATAATTCAAGTAATCCAGAAAAGACTTTTTTGATGGTTGAGAGTTTTATTTAAAACAAAATAAATAATTCATTATAAACAATAAATTATTGTAAAATTAATCAACCTATTTTTTTGCTATTGATTAACGGAAAATTAATGCAATGGCTATCTTTTAAAGGTAACACTAAAAGACAACATTACAATTTTTAAAACTTTATGTGAAACATAAAAAGGTTTATTGTGATCTACATAATGATAACATTGGAATTATGTGAACCAGTTAATCAGGTAAAATATATGCACCTGAGCTACTTGGAGGAAAAAAGAATACAAAGAATACAAAAAAAGGCAGATATTTGTAGTTTGGGATGGTAATGTGTGAAGTATTTGCATGCAATCCACCATTTGATGATAAAGTTCATAATCATCAAATTGATGAAATTCAAATTAAAAAGGCATGAAATTGATTTTATTAATGATAGATAGCAGCAGCAACAGCAGTAGTAACGATTCACAACAGGTACACAAATCATTAAATGATGAAATTGCTAAATCAAAAAGCTTAAAAGGTAATGATAGTTCATTGAATAATTTAACTCTATGAATAAGTTCAGATTATTAATAAAAGTAAAAGGTTAAGATTAAAATATCGATGGAAAAGCCCTAGGGCTAGGGTTGAACATTTTAATAGTGGTTATAACTCAATTACGACCCTAGAGTTTGTGGTTCAACTCAATCTCAAAGATAATAATACGAAACCCACAAAATTTTACCGAGAATATCTTTAATACTTGATGATTTTTGCACTACTATTAATTGTGAAAATCATTCGTGTCTCTTAGTAAAGTTGACAATGCATTTTGCATCCGTTTGTGAAGCAACCAAGTTTGTCTTCTATGTTTTCCAGTCCAATGTATACTTCGGGTCTTTCAATCGTAAGATCATCGTCTTCCAGAAACTTGAAGTGTTTCTTGATTTAAGTGAAAAATTTGTCATGTGAAAATAAACAGCGTTTAACCATTTATATCATTATTATAAAAATATTTAAAATATTAATAAATCAAACCCTGAGCATGTACGACAAAAATGACAAAAGTAATGAAATCATTCTAAATTAATTCTAACCCTTTTTAAAAAAATATATTTTAACAAAGAAATGAGCACATATATAGATAAATCAAGAAATTGATAAAAAATATAAAGATAAAAAATATTTTTATTATAGCTCCATTTTGTTATTCCAAGCCTATTGTATTCCAATTCGGAAAAATCAAAATTCAAGATTTGCAGGATTTGCTCTGCTCAATGCGACGCATCCGCAAAAAAATTTTTCATCTATAGAAACGGTTACACTTTAGGCTTGCGTTTATGGTTGTGAGCGTGAAGGCATTCTAAAGTGGGAATTGTTTCCTAGGAACTATCTTTCCCATCAATTTCAAAATGGCTTGGATAACTGCTCCTTATATTTTCATTGTCAATGATTTTTGCCACCATTCTTGCGGTTTGTCTCATTAAAGATATTTTCTCGGAATAATTATTGTTTATAATTTATTATTCAAAAACGCGACTAATTTATAAAGGTCTGATAAGATTAAGATTATCTCATGATATGACGATAACTAATTTATTTATGTTTTTTAAAAGAGTTTTTTATATTGATAAGGATATGTGGAGTATACTAACACGTAATCTTTTTTCCTATAACATGACAATAGGATTTTTACTGAATTGTGGCTATGTTTTTTCCCGAGGCGCATAATAATATATTGTTGCGGCACAGCAGAAAATCGTTCGATGAACAATAAGAACTGAAAATAAATTATTTTGAAGAATGAGACTGCAAATTTAAAGTAAACTTAAAGGGAATCGTTGGGACAATACTCAATGAGAATGAAATTAAAAGAGACAATAATTAACAACATCAGCAACTAAACCGAAAAAGTTAAGAAATACAAAATCTAAAGAATGGTTATAATCATAAGCAAAAAGATTATCCTAAGCAGAGAGAGGGAGTAAATTATTGAAAGAAATTTGGTTTAGAGAATAGGGCTATTACTAAATAGCAAGCCTCGGACGGAGCAAGTGATTGTGGCGAAGGCATAAAGCGTTCCCACTTCTTCTCAAACAGAAAGTGATTTAAGGAAAAAAAAAAATAGAAAATTAGAATAACCGGAAAAGTAAAACGCTGGTTTTTCAATAACCAACATTATTCAGAAACAAAGAGCGAATTCAATAATTTATGAATTGTTGCTTCCATTTATTATTAAGAGTGAGAAATACTTCCTCCAAGAAGTGGTGAGTTTGAGGAAATAAATAGAAATGGAGAAAATGAATACCTTTTATTTGAATATTGGTTTATCTATTAGAGATTTACTAATCCTAGGTTGATTAGTTATAAAAGAAACCAAATTACCAAAAATAGGGACAAAAGACGCTCGGAAGTAAAGAAATCGGGTTTTTCTTTCTTTAGTATTAGCACATTATATCAGTGGTACGATTGTGGCGCTTCTCATTTTCGTACCACAGTTTATTTATATAATTTAAACACTTGTAATTTTTTTTTCATCATCTTAAAAAAAATTTTTCGCACTATTACTATTGTCTCAATAAAAGCTTATATTGCAAATATTTAAATAGACATATAACATAATATTTTACTCCTCCCTTCCTTCTTTCAAGAATGCCCCTTGAGCTTGAAAACGTAAAATCATTATTACCGCCAGGTATTACTCTTTTACCTGGCGAAACAATAGAATTTATAGATAGAACAAGCGCAATCAAATTATCTAAAGAAACTTCAGATGGAGGCTTTGTTGAATGTGGTTACGACACTGATGAATTTTATGGCCAAAGGGACATTGCAAATGAAGTAAACTGTCGCATTATATTATATTATATTATATTATATATGGCGATAATAAATTTATTTATTTATATATTTTATTCATATATTTGCATATTTTTTCATATGACAATAAAGTCTATTGTTCTAATAACAAATTACAGAACATGTTATCATCCTATAAGAAATTACTCTGATCACCTGGCCACGACATCTTTAACAACCAGGTTAACTTCAATAATATCACTCACAACACAAATTCCTCACCTTTCTGTCTCTTCATTAGAAGAATCACAATCACAAATCACAATATCTCTAAAGTTCTTTCCATCAAAGTATTTATTTACATTCTCGAAATCAAAAAGGTCAAATTTTTCCTTTGAAAATAACGGAAATATTACCACTATCCAATCTAATAACAATTGCAATAATAATTCATTATGTATGAAATTTGCCTTTATATTAAAAGACTTTGTTAATCCTGATGTACTGGAAAATGTTTTTGCATTTCATATGGGAGAAAGTTACATCTCTCAAAGCAATGATGATGATGATAGTAATAGTACTGGAAAAAAAAACATTATTCATAAAAATAGCAAAAAGAAAAGTAGTAAAAGAAGGAAAAATCATGGAAAATCAATCACTGTAGATAAATTAGAGGAAAAATTACTTTCAGCATTATTTTCAAAATCAAATGGTGATGGTGATAATGATAATGATAGTAGTGATAATGGTTATGGTTATGATGATGATGATGATGATGATGACGACGATGAAATGGAACTTGAAAACCAAGTTATTCATAAAGGAATAAATGAAGAAACATTTCAATGTTATAAAAAATTAGGATGGACGTCAGGTTACCAAATAGAGAAGGAGTTTAAACGTTTGAAGATGGATAACGAATCATGGTAAATTTATAACACACTACTTGTTATTACTAAAAAAAAAAAAAAAAAAAACAATAATTAATTAATTTCTAATGATAAATGTAAAATTTTATTATTATGATTATTAAGGATTATTTCACGCGTTAATTCGAATTACTCTTTATCAAAAACATATCCGCAAGATTTTATTTTACCTTCCAGAATTTTAAAAAATCATCAATTGAAGAAAAAAAAGCAAGGAATCAATAGTTTTTTCCATAAACTGGCAAATTTTCGTAGTAGATTTCCTGTTGTTTGTTGGAAAAAAGGTCATCATGTTTTGATGCGTAGTGCTCAACCAATGGTAGGGTTTTTTTCTTCACGTGGTTTGGAAGATGAAATTTTAATTCAAGAAGTTTTAGGTGCAGTCAGTGAGGAGGAACAAGAAATGGCTAAAGCAAAACAAAAGTATTTAGGTTTTGAAATAGGAAGTATTTCAGATGGCAAACTTACTAGAAATTCTATAAATTTTGATGAAAAATGTCAAATGAAAATGTGCATTTTGGATGCAAGAAATTTCACTTCTGCTTTTTCAAATATTTATAAAGGTGGTGGCTATGAAAATATAGGTAAAATAACTTTTTTTTTTTTATTTTTTTTAAAAAAAATAATTAATTGTTTATCTTTGTTCATTTTATTTTTTTTAAATAGGATTTTATCCACAAAATACTACACTGGAATGGCTGAATCTTCCAAATATTCATGTTATTTCAAATGCACATTCAAAACTATTACGTGAAATAGCAACAAATGCCTCATCGCCTAATTGGTTTTCAGTATTAGAGTCTACAGGATGGTTGAATTGTGTAGCTGGTTTGCTTAAAGCAGCTGGAGGAAAAAATGGAGTGGTATCCAAGATAGTTGATGATGATTCTAGTGTGCTAGTGCATTGTACTGATGGTTGGGATAGAACACCACAACTTGTTTCACTTGCACAAATAATGTTAGATCCATATTATCGTACTTTGAAAGGGTTTAGGGTGTTGATCGAAAAGGAATGGATGGCTTTTGGTCATCAATTTAGAGCACGTGGTGAACTCCCGACTAAATTATCTTGCAGTGACTATAGCAGGAAAAAAGGCAATGATAACAATAACAGAAATTCATATTCATCATCATCAGCATATTCATCAACACAGTTGTCAACACCATCATCGGACACTAATTCAACAACTCCTGTTTCATCACCTGTGTTTCTTTTATTTCTAACGTGTGTTCATCATCTTTTAGAACAATTTCCTACATTGTTTGAGTTTAATGATTTTTTGTTGTTGTGTCTAGCTCGTGCATCGGCTGGAAATTCGCCTTACGGTGATTTTCTATGTAATTCTGAATTTGAAAGAGAAATAATTAGGTTGCGTGAAAGAACTAGAAGCATATGGTCATGGGTGCACGAACATCGACAATGGTTTAAAAATGATCAATATCTGAAAATCTCATCATCGTTATCATCAACATCATTGTCATCTAGATCTAATAACAATAGCTGCTTTAAATTTGACCATGCATGGAAAAAAGAAGTTTTACGTCCTGAAACTGGCGCCAGGGTAATAACACTATGGTCTGATTATTATTTTCCAAAAGATGATAATTCAATAGCGTTATTATCAGTACCACCTGGATCTGAGATTATGTTTACTCCAGGAATTAAAATGCCCGAGAAATTATTATTGACAATGTGTAAAAAATTGGTATTGAACAATAGTAAACTTAATGATGGTAATGATAATGACGATAATGACAATAATGACAATACGAAAATTGCACTAGAAAAAATCGAAAATAAAGAGGAATACGATGGCGAAGATGAAGATGATAATAAAATATATGTTGAAGATATGCTTCTTAATTCGGTATTACAGGATGGTGTCAGATCTGTACATAATGATGCAACAGACATTTCAAAATCCTTACTTTTAGGTCAATCAGATTATATTGATTTAAAAGGATTATCAAGCTCGGACAAAGTTCCTTTAAAAGCATTAAGAAAAAAAATTGAATCATTAACGTTGGATCATTATGACGACGATGACGATGATGATGATAATGGAGAAGTTGATGATGGTGGTGGTGGTGGTGGTGGTAGTGATGGTGGAGTTGATAAAGGGGAGAAAAATAATGTAGAAAGATATGAGAGCACATGGGTTAATTTAACATGTCCACATGAGAACGACAAAATAGAACTCGCACAAACTTTAAAAAATCTTTTACATGAAGCACAAACAGAAGATTCATTTACTCATTGTAACACTAGCAGCAGCAGCAGCAGCAGTAGTAGTAGCAGCAGCAGCAGTGGTAGTAGTACTAGTAGTAGTAATGAAGCTATTGATAAAAATAATATGATAGTCAATAGTGGTAGAAGCGCTGTAATAAATATTAGTGGTAGCGGTAGCAGTGATAGTGGCACAAATAAATTTCACAGATTTCATAAAAATATTCTACCGTTATCGCATAATTCTACTACAATAAATAGTAGTAGAGCAACGACTATTCCAACTGCTTCCAATAATAATAACAATAATTATTATAATTATAATTATAATTATAATGATTCTGAAAACAATAAACATTTTACATCCGAAGATTTATTAACGTCATCGCCACCATCAACATCAGATGGCATTTCTAGAACTTCACTTGATTTTAATGACTTTGTAATTATTTAGAGGTTTTTTTATTTAAATTCATAGTTTATATATGCATGCTATATACATTTTCATTTATACATTTTATACATTATATATTAATATTATCAAAAAAAAAATTTTTTAATTTATTATTATAATTTTGTAAATTATTAATTAATTATTAATTATTAATTTTAATATTTGGATTTTTTGTGTAATTGATGGATTTTAAGGTTTTCACAAAAAAAAAAATAAAGGCGTTGTAAAAAAGTATGAAAATACTCAAAACTTAAAACTTAAATTACATAATAATAACAATTAACATTTGAAATATCGAGTGACATTTTGGGAAACGTCTCTGCTCCTGCTTTAACACTTTTAATTCTAATTGACAAATTTTATGTTTTTTATTTTTATTTTTATTTTTTTTTTTTAGTATATATTATATATAATAATATAATAAAAAGTTCATATATAGAGAAAAAGGAAAAAATTTATTATTTTAATGCTATTATGTTTATGTATGTATTAATATTAATATAATAATAAAAATTTTGCTTTTTAATTTATTTGTTTGTTTGTTGAAAAAATAAAAAAAATTAAAATTTTAACCCAAACAACAAAAACGAAAAAACGTTTCGTTAGATAGATAGATGCATGTAATTGATGAATAATGAATTGATATGACAATGATTTATAATGATCCATTGGTGGATTCTTCTTCGTGTGAGGTGATGAGTTTGACTTGTTTTTCATCAGCAATTCTTCTTGCTTCAGCATGAACATCGGCAACTTGTTTTGTGGTTGAAAGATAATATTCAAGCATGATTTTACCGGCAGGTGTTTCGATCGCTTGATTTACTTTGTCTTGTGCTTGAGTAGTGACATATTTGATTTTATCTTGAACGGCAAATTTAGTGTCGAGCTGGACGGCTGTCGCACTCACTTTATCATATACTTTGTATTGGTCGTCTAATGCTTTGACTAAAAGAAGACAAAAAAGAATATTTTTTTAAAAAAAATTTTTTTTTTGAAGGAGGAAATTAAAAAAAAAACTCACGATTGTCTTGGAGTTGATGCAAATAATACATGAGACGTCCACTTATACCGCATCTTGCTAAAATAATAATAATATTAATGAATTAAATAATTCGAAATCAAATAATTATAAATTCTTTTAAAAAATGTATTCGTTTAAACTTACAATCAAATTCGAGGCCTTTTTGAATGATAGAATCTTGTAACTGAAATCCTGCAGCTAAAATTTCTGCAAAAATTACTTTTTTTGGCTATAATAAAAAGATATATAAATATACAAATAATAATTAGTTGAACGTGTCTATAAATAAAAATATTTACTTCCCTGACGAGAGGAAGCAACTTACTAAATCTACCGCTACTACTAACCTTTTCCTCTTGTTCTATACAACTAAGTTGGTCATTATTTCCATCATCAGGATTCAATGATCCATCGGCGGGTCTGACTGTGATTGGAGAATCACCAATTACAGCATTTGTTAACATAAGAGCAGTTTTTACGGCAGCATCTCTTTCGAATGTCACATAAGCAATTTGTTTATCGCTTTTTTCATCTCTAATTATTGTAAAACAATCAAATATATTATTATTATTATTATATATATATATATATGTATGTATGTATGTATATACAAGATTACCAACTACTCACTTTACCAACTCGAATTCTTTCATTTTACCACAAAATAAAAAGAAATCCTTAACTATAATGGTATCGCATTGAATTAATAAATGTAACGTGCATATTTATTATAATAAATGCGCGTAAATAGATTTAATTGTAATTTTTATTATGCTTACCAGTTTTCTCTGTGGCAGCAGAGGAAATTTCGGTAACAACAACTTTCTTTGAACAGGTCATTTTTGTTTAGTGTGAAAGAGGTAGATTTTATTTTATTAGTAGGAGTTGATAATAATAGTTTTGTAGTTTTGTAGTTTATTTTTTTAAAAAATATAATTTTTTTTAATAATATTTTTTTGTGAAAGGATTTTTTTTTTTTTTTTTGAAGAAAGAGTTATATTTCCAAGTCCTTTAGATCCGTTTTTTTTAATTTTAAACAAAGTATTAATTAATTAAAATATTTTTTTACATTGAATATGTTAAAAAAGTGGAGTTAATTAAAATTCTATTTATTTGTAAAGGCGTACATAAAAAATGAGGGGAAATAATCACGATTCACTCAGAAATCAAAAAATACGATTTACATAAAAAAAAAAATCTCATGAAAATAATGTGAATATGTGTGAAAAAATAAAATAAAAATATTTTTTTTATTCGGGGGGAAATTTGATCTTTGCAAAACACGCAAAGAATTTTTATTTGGTGATATAGAAGAAAGTAAAGGTTTAATTAATATTTCTTAAATAAATAAATAAAAAAAAATATATATATTAATAATATATATTACACACCTTAAGCCATTAAATCATTGTGCATTAATTAACTGAATTGTCAAATATCACGAGATATAAGGTGATTGTTGAAAGTACTAGTGTAAGAAAGAGAAGGTAACTAATGAATCAAATCAAACATATCAAATAATCAATAAATCAACCATTAATTTGGATCAAAACAGCTTCTCAAAGAATGCTGAATTTCAGGGTATGTGTTACCAAAATGTCAACTTTATCAAATGTTATTGATAAATATTTTATTATTATTGTGTTAAGAGAGAGAGGAGGGAAAACAATAGTTATTTGTTTATTTTATAGCCACAATAATAGCTCCAAATTTGTTAAAATACTTACTATTAATATTAATATAATAGCTAGCATTTAGTCATGATAATATGTTAACAGGCACGTGGTCATGAATTTATTTTGCATGTGCAAAAAAAGATAACATTTGATCAAACTTGAGAACTTGTTATCCGATTTTATCATTCTGAACTGTCCTGGATTACGAAATTGATGTATTAATTACAAAGTTTCAATTTTTTTAATTTTATTATGAAATTACCAGCGTTGTGTAACTATTACAAATTTAGAAACTATCTGGAGAAAATACTAACGTGTAACGTGACACTTCCGCATCCCCGCACTAAAATTTCAACACTGTTCTTCACATGCTTGTAATATATTGATAACATCTATGTTGGACCAATTAGAAATATTTATTTCCCCACGGTTTTGTTTTATTTCCATGTGAAAAAAAAGACCCTCTTTTCCTAATTCTTCTATCGTAGCAATGGATGAGCGAGCATACACATATTAATAATTCCTAATTTATGTGCATCATTATTATACAATGCATTCTACTCGTGTAATATTGTTGTATGGAAAACCTACTCAATTAATCGACCAATTATTATTATTTCAATTCAAACCCAAGTTGCGTGTTATTCGCGTGAGAGAATGAAAGATGAAATTCTGCAAATTTTTAAGAATGAATTGTAAATGTAACACGAGATCGTACCATCATCCAATTAAAAACCGTAATTTAAAAATATATATAACTGATTAAAAATAAAAAATTTTTTTTCTTTTAATGGATCCTTCCTATTCAATAAAGTAATGATGAATGGCTTTTAATGAATCAAAAAATTCCTTGTTTAAACTTGGGATAATATGATAAAGTGTGCTTTGCCTATTAATTATTCTTGTTACGTTTAAAAAGCACACAAGCCTAATCTGAACAAAACTAATTTTAAATTAATTTTGAATTGTAGAAGGAATTCCATTCATTCATTTTATCAATAAAATCATTTATTATTAAAAATATAATTTAAATAAATCATCATTATCGTTAAAATATTTTATTATTTATCATGTAAATCGATCAAAGTTCACTTCTATTCCACGTCCTCCATACATATAACCGCTAAATTTTTCTAAATAACAAGATAATATATATATATTTAATAAAAAAAGCAGCTTCAAACTAAAAATTTACATAACATTAACATATAATTAACATAATAAAATAACAACCAACTCACCAACTGCAAAACGAGCCGATTCATTTGAATCAAATTGTACAAGTCCTGCTCCTTTAGGTAAAATTTCTGCTCTAACGACATTACCTATATATATAATAATGAGAAAAGGATATCTTTTTCATCTTTAAGATAAAACAATTATTAATTATTCTTACCACAATGTTTAAACAACTCTCTCAAATCTAAATTTGTAGTATTGAACGGCAACTAATAATGATAATATTATTTGTTTATTTATTTATTGTTATAATTTTTTTTTTATCCTTTTTGATTTCAAATATCATCATCACTTACATTTCTTACAAATATTTGAGTACCAATTGTTGTTGAAGTATTTAACCCAGGCGTAGGATAAAACCCTGCAGAACTGCCAAATGTTCCAGTATATGCTGCTGCTGGATAACCTGCCGTGGAAAATTCCCCTCCCCCTCTCCTTCCTACTCTATAATCTATCATACCACCTGCACCAGTAGTACCTGAAAAATCTCCTCCATATGCTACTACTTGTCCATATGTATCAAATGTTGTTGTCTCTGGGTTACTATGTCCCTCTCCCCCTCCACCACCACCCAATGGATTAAACCCACCACCACCTCCAATTGGATTAAATCCTCCAATCCCTCCACCGACCGTAGTTGAATTTCCACCTCCACCTGCCGTTGTTGATGCTGGCGTTGCTGCTAATGATGAAGTTGTTGTTGCTGCTAAATTTGTTCCAAAAAACCCACCAGTACCATGATGATGAGGATTATGGGGACGGGGGTGATTATTATTATTATTATTATTATTATTATTATTGAAATTTCCTCCGCCACCTGTTCCTCCATTTCCACCTCCACCTCCACTTCCACCTGTTCCTGCTCCCATCCCCCCTCCTCCTATACCTATTCCAACTCCTCCCTTTCCAAATGGACTATGATGATGGTGGTGGTGATGTGATGGTGGTGGTAATGGTTGTGCTGGTCGAGTGGAAAATCTTGGCGGTGGTGGTCCTCCAGCAAAACGATCCTACGTTTATATACGTATGTATATGTGTATGTATATGTATATGTATATGTATATGTATATATGTAAATTTGAAAAGAAAAAGAAAACCTGCCATCTCAATAACTTGCCCAGCTCATACCAAAAAATATTTTTTCAATCTCATTAAAAATAATAATCATAAATAATAATAATAATAACAATACATTATAGCGAGCAAAAAACCCCTTTTTATAAAAAAACAACCAAACAACACCCCACCTCACGGACTTCAATATTTCTACCATTCATATCGTACCCATCGTACACAACTAAAATAAAAAAATATATATTTATAAAATATTCATTCAGCCAGCGCCCTTTCCTTCTTCTACAATCCCTAACCTCCCTCGACCCATTTCACCTCAAACCATAAATCAATCAAATCAATTTATATTATATTATATTATTAATTTCAATAAACACATACAAATCGCATTTGCAGCATCTTCCGGCGTCTCAAATAATACTGTCCCAGACCCCTTCGATCTTCGGTCTTGTCCTACAAGAATATCTGCTCTAATAATATTTCCTATATTTATTTTTTTTAAAAAAGACATTAAAATTCATTTATAATATATATGTAAAATTAACTATAACTAATTAATAGATTCGTACCAGCATTTCTAAAAAGATCCTTAAGTTCCTGCCAACCAACCGAATAAGGAAGCTATTATATATATAAATTTAATTATATACTTTTTTAAAAAAATTTTTCAAAAAATTTTAATTAAAAAATTAACCAACATTTCCAACAAAAATTTGTCTGCCAGCAACACTACTACCATGATTATGATGATGATTATGATAATTATTACCACTGCTATTGCTATTACTAGAATTATGACGATGATTAATAGTATTATTATTGTAATGATGATGATGATGATGATTGTTGTTATTGTTATGATGATAATGATTATTATGGTGATTAGGCTGTTGATAATGATGGTGTGAATATGATGCTATTCTATTATCATTATTTCTAATATTTAATCCTGTACCAAATTTAGCTTCTGATTCACGATCCTATGCAATAATTATATTTTATTTATATAATCATTAATTTATTTGTTTGTCAAATACATACACACACATTCACACAAATATAAAATTCATACCTCTCTAATAAATACAGGTCTTCCTAACAATTGTGTATCATTCAATGTTTCAATAGCTCGTCTTGCATCTTCGGGTGTACGATATTCTACAACACTTTATACATTATTTGAAGAAAATTTACATATACCGATCGATACATAAAAAAAACATTGTTATTAATTTTTAATAATCAAAATTTCTCACCCACAACCTTTTGACATTCCATTTGATTGCATTAAAACATCAGCAAAAACAACTTCACCAGCTAAGATTCAATTTTTTATTATAATATTTAGAAAAATATATTGGTTAAAGAAATATATAAATGTAAATATGATGGATCTTATACCTTGACGCATAAAATCTTTTAATTGAGCCCATTTAATTTCATAAGCTAAATTACCAACATAAACACGACATTCTTTTTGTGATCTTTGTGATGCGGTCAATGCTGGTTTTTTTTAAAAAAATATATTATTTTATTAATTATAGGATTAAATTATATATTTGTTTTGTTTTGAAAATAAAACCTGCTGTTTCCTTTGCCGATAATCTCTGACTGTATGATTTCTCCTGTTTAATAAAAGGTCGACCATTATATCTGTCACGAGAATGTGGATTGGGATAAGGAGGAGATAATCTATTATTAGTTCCACCAATAACACTTCCTGTACGTCTATCCCTTTCCCTATTTCGAATAACCGATGCTGTATGATGTCCTCCTTCCCTACTATCAAAATCTCTTTCACGTTTAATTGCTCTGTCAATTTCATAATGATCATTGTTATTGTTTTTGTTATTACTGTTATTGCTGTCGATAGTATTGTTGTTGTTATTATATGATGGACGACGAGTGAAATTGCGATAACTATTTGATGATGGATAAGGTGATGGTGTACGTGGAGATCGGGAACGTCTTAATGAGACTGGTCTAGGAGATCTAGAACGTCTAGGGGATCTTGAGCGTCTATGTGGTGAATACGATCTACTGGAACCTCTTCTTAATACATTAAAAAGAAAATGATTGTGAAAAAATTTACATTTTATTATTAAAGAAAACCTTATAAATTTATAAATTACCTTTTTCTAGGTCTATAAGAATCTTCATCTGTTTTATTATGTCTACGATCTTCCTCGTTAGCAGAATTTTCCTCTTGAGTATCCAAAATAATATCATCAGCTGCAGTTATCGAACAAAGAGTGCTATTTATAGGATCACTCATTAATTCGTCAGTATGTGGGGTATGTGGGCCTGTTGACATTTTTTTGTTGCTGTTGTTAAAAAACTTATTTTTTTCGTAAAGGAATTTTTATATTTAGTAATTTTAATATCACATATTTTTATCACACAATTAATTAAATTCCTTTAAAAAAATACTACTAACCTCTTATATTGAACCTATACTAATACTAAGTACAAGTACTACGTAGACAACCTACAATAAGGTGTCCCGGGTGTAAGCCCCAACGTCGCGAACGACTCTTGTTGTTTTTCTGTAATATACTTCAAAAGTGTATTACGAGCTCCGTTTACATCTCTATTAATGGCGGATTATCAATTAAAAATCTTTGAACCACCCGAATTTGACTTGATGACTCCACAATATCCGCATATTTTGCTATAGTTGGCTCAGTCTAAAGACCTCCTAAATTTTGGGCAAATTTTAAAAGTATAAAAGTCACTTTCTTCCTACCTTTTAAAAAAATTGCTCTACTAGTTGATAGAATATGTCTTTAGTTTTAATGTAATAGAGAGATTTTCTCAAAAATTATTTGTTGTAGAGTTCTATTCTTTTTTAAAACATGTACTTTACTATGCTCGCGAGGAATTTGCCCACTATGATCATTTCTAAATTTAGGAACAATATTACCAAATTTAGACTAACTCTTGACTATCGTATCTAAGTTTGGCAGTAAGAAAACTAAAATCATGTGAAGTCCTATTTTTTGAAAAATTTTATTACATTTTTGAACGAATTACAAAATTTTTATTTTGAAATTTGGCCGCATGGCGCAGCAATAGGAGGTCATTAGACCGAGCCAACCATAGTATATTCCTCAGTGCAGATAATGACCTTGCACCAAGGGTGCTCGCGGGTTTTAGATCAAGCGTTGGCGAACACGGTAATATGACCAGGTTAACATTTACTGCATTTTTAACCATGTCTTTTGTTTTAAACTCGGGGAGCAAAAATATATGGTGGTTTTCCCACAACCATTTTGCTAATCTTTGATGACATTCATACACAAGATTACGAATTTTCTTGTGGATTCGGGGCATCCTATGCTTACTTGCTTTGCCATGAATAGAATCCCTTTCACCTTGGATTCTATCACAAGTGATGTATTCTACTAATATCCTTTTTTCCCCATTCTATAACCTTCATCAATTGGTCATCACTCCTGGGTCAAGAGAAATTATGCCAGCGGCTCTATTCTCTTCAACTACCGAAAATTAGGACCTTGGTTATCAGCCTTAATTTCAAGTGATTTGAGAATACACAAGCAGAGACGAAGGTCATGATTTATTTCAAGCATTTTTTCACTTGCTTCAATATCTTTGAGAAATGAATGATGTGCACGATTACTACCCCATTCTCTTGATTGATCTAAAGTTTTCCTTTTTAAAGCTTGCAATTTTTAAAAAGGTCGATCATTGCTGCATCCCTAATGTATCAAGAACTAACTAACCAACTTAAGACTAGTATCTTTAATTTTTGATTTCGAATATCACATAGGGCATGCTATAACAAAGTGAACATTGTTTCATGCAAATTACAGGGACCAAAATTTAGTCATCGCTATTACTATGTTAATATTTACAACAGATCTACTATGGAACCCACCATTAGAAGTATTTTGAAAAAGAAATTATGTTTTAAAAATAAATGACACACAGATACTTGAAAACTGTCCAAGAAAAGAGAAAATAACCTATGAAATTTACCAGGAGGGAAGAAAAATCATAATCAATAAAAGAAATGGTTTCTCTTTTAGGTGAATTTTCTCACTTATCATTTTTGTAATTCTTTGTAGTTTGTTATTTTCTCTTGATAATATTGGTAAAGGTTTATTGGCTAAATATGATTCTTGTTTTAGTTGCTGAATTTCTTGGGCTTGTTGATTTATTTCTTAATGTATGCCCTTTTCATGCTAGCTACGAATAAAAATTGCATGATTTAAAGAAAAACTTTGACATAAACTCTATAGATTGATTCATCGTGATTCTAGTGATTTAAACAATAAAGAATTTTAGCATTCTCTTTTTTTCTTTGTATTTTATTTTATTATTAATATTATTACGTATTTATTATTATTACGCGTAATTAACTTCAATGTCAAAAAAATCAAGTTAACATAACTAGTGTGCATGTAAAAGTTGCTCTGTTGATATGCCCATGTGTGTCTCAAACCCAGGCACTAAAGACAATTCGAACACGGTTTGATTTTTTCATTTTAAAAAGGAAGAAAGAAATTTACTTTTGAAAATATCAATTAATTTTTGGTTACAAACATTAAAAGATGCTAAAGATATTGTACGTTTCACGATTTTACATTAATTTCTTTGTTGTTTTAATAAGAAAGAGAGTGTGCGTGAATAATGTTTTGTAATAAAGATATTTAATCTCTCATGAATCAATGAATAATTGAATGAAATTATTAATAGTTTCTTAGTATTAGATAAAGTATTTGAAAAGAAGATAAAACATACAGTTACTGGAAAAAAGTATCGCTTCACCTGATGATTGGTGAAAATAATTGAATAACTCCTGTGATATAAAAAGTCATTATTTTACTAACCAAGTCGATGTTGTGTAATAACAAAAAAATCTTTTTCATAATGAATTCTATAACATACTCAAATTCCACAAGATTCAATTAATTATTGGTAATTTTATAATTTTTAAAAGACAAAAAAAAAATTTCCGGAAATTTTCCAAAAAATTTAGATTAGAGCCAACTTTAGATGTCATGTTTTAACACATTTTGAAAGCTTATTAAATGTTGTTTCTTTTGTCTTCAAAGGGATACTTATAAAACCTCGCAATTAATTGTCAAATATTGGTCAAGTATCGAACTGAAACGTAAAAATAATTTTTAAAAAGTTTACTAGCTATTTGCACAATATTTTACATATTAACTCGTTATAAAATATACACTAAAAGAATCAAAAAAAGATAGAGAATTTGGTTATTTATTAGTATTTTGTCGGGTTTCCTTTAGAATTAATTACAGCTGCAACTCTTCTTGGCATAGAATTAACTAAATTTTGTAAAAAATTACGGTCAAGCTTCTCCCACTCTTCATTTAAATAAATAGATAATCCTTCAATATTTTTTGGATGTGGTTTTCGATTATGAACTGCCTTTTCTAAATAATCCCAAACATGTTCAATTGGGTTGAGATCAGGACTCTGAGCAGGCCAAGGAAGAGAAGAAATTAAATTATCTTCTTTCCATTTAAGCACTGCCTTTGCAGTATGAACTGGTGCATTATCATCTTGAAATATATTTAAATCAGTTCCTAATTCATTCATAAAAGGCAATAAAGAATTTTCTAAAAGCTCTTGATATCTTTTACCAGTTATTTTACCTTCTATTATTACCAAGGGTCCTGGTTGATTGTTCACGAAACAACCCCACACCATTATTCCTCCTCCACCATGTTTAAAAGTAGGAATAAGACAGTCAACATCATACTTTTCTTTTGGCATTCTCCAAACTCTCTGCCATCCATCAGAATGATACAAGTTGAATTTTGATTCATCACTCCAAATAATATTATTCCAATCATTAATGTTCCAATTTTTTCTTTCTCTGCACCAACTAAATCGTTTTTTTCGATTAACTTCAGAAACAAAGGGTTTTCTCAATGCAGCTCGACTATAATATCCTTCTCCATGGAGATAGCTACGAACTGTTTGATCACAAATAGGATTGTCTGTGATTTCATTTAATATGTTAGTTATCTCTCTAGCAGGAGTAAAACGATTTTTTATGACAATTCTTTTTAAAGTCCTAGAGTCTCGATCCGTTAAACTTTTTGGTCTTCCACTTCTAGATAAAACAGTAATTTGACCTTTTTCGCGATATGCTTTTATTGCACGCTGTACTTGTGTTTGAGTACGACCAATGGCATTTGCTATTTCTCGAGTTGTTTGACCAGCTTCCCAACGACCAATTATTCTTCCTCTTTCAAAGTCAGTTAATTCAGTGTTTTCAGTATTCTGTGTATTTGTTTCTGTAAGAGTCATTGTGTTGTTGATTAAAAAATAAGAGTTAAAAAAACGTTAAAACGAATAACAATATTTTGTGAAAAAAAAATTTTAAATGTAACACATTTATTTTTTTTAGTCATTTTTACGTTTCAATTCGATTCTTGACCAGTATTTGACAATTAATTGCGAGGTTTTATAAGTATCCCTTTGAAGATAAAAGAAACAACATTTACTAAGCTCCCAAAATGTGTTAAAACATGACATCTAAAGTTGGCTCTAATCTAAAGTTTTTTGGAAAATTTCCGGAAATTTTTTTTTTGTCTTTTAAAGATTATAAAATTACCAATAATTAATTGAATCTTGTGGAACTTGAGTATGTTATAGAATTCGTTATGAAAAAAATTTTTTTGTTATTACACAACATCGACTTGATTAGTAAAATAATGACTTTTTATATCACCGGAGTTATTTATTTATTTTCACCGATCATCAGGTGAAGCAATACTTTTTTCCAGTGACTGTACATATAATTCTTGTAAGTTCTTACTTTCAATTGGCATCATTAACAGTTAAAAAGGATGGGTAAAGTATACCCTATGCAAATGTGGGTGATCTGTGTATAACAGATTTTTTTTTCCCTTTTAATTTAGATCACTAATAGATTTTTTTTTGTATTATTTTTTTTGTATAAAAAATTAAAAATCTTCTTTAAATCATATGCCAAATCTATTATTATTATTATTATTATTATTATTATTATTTTAGGTGAATTTATTTATTTTTTATTTTGCACAATCAGATCTAGGGATGGGGCAGTTCGGTTAGGTTCGGTTCTGGTTCCATGGAACCGGTTACAATAGAACTGAACTGAACCGAACCGGTTCCAAAATAGATGTAACACAAAATATTATTGTCAAAACTAATTTTCTTTGAAAATTTTTACTACATATAAATTTTCTTTAAGGGTATTACTTCCTATGTATCTAGTCATTGTCCATATTTAATGTTGATGATTATTTTTGTTTTGCCAATCACTAAATTGACCAATAGGAATGAAGGAAGGCAAATGAAAATGACAAAAACGGATATTAAAATATCCCAATATGGCGAAGTGGTTTTGACCTCAAATAAACTTAATTAATATTAACAGATGGTCTTTTGGCGAATTGCAAATGGTTTTTTTTGAATTGTATAAAAAAAAATGGACCTTTGACAAATTGCAAAAAGGCTTTTGACATAAATTTTAAAAAATGGACTTTTGGCGTGAATTGTAAAAAGAATTGTAAAAAATAGACTTATGGAGTGAATTGTAAAAATAATTTTTGAATTGTAAAAAATGGTCTTTTGGTGAATTGTAAAAAAAAGACTTTTGACATTATCATTTAAATTGTAAAAAATAGACTTTTGGCATGAATTGCAAAAAGATTTTTTGAATTGTAAAAAATGGTCTTTTGGCGAATTGTAAAAAAAAGACTTTTGACATTATCATTTAAATTGTAAAAAATAGACTTATGGCCAGTGTATAAATTTCGTCGTGTAACAATATATCCAAATTTAGATGCGCACATTTTTGAAGGACATAATAATAATTATTTTATTTATAAAAGTATATTTTAAAATACAATAAATTTAATATAGTTTTTTAAAATCTATATCCTTGTTTTCTTACTTCTCCAATACTCATATGCCTTTTCAAAATCAAAATCTTCTATTTCTGGTCCATTTAATAATAACATTAAATGATTACTCAATGTATTAATATTCATTTTATTTCTTAATTTATTTTTTATTAAAGTTTGTTGTAAGAATATTCTTTCTACTTGAGCATTAGAAAGAGGCACAATCAGTGCTATTTTAATAATAATTGTTATTGTTGGATAATTAAAAGAAAAAGCTTCATCATTATCTAAAATTCGTTTCCACAATTGAATAAAGTCCAATTCTGTGTATTTGTAAAATTGAAGATAAGGCTTCACCAAGCTCCATTCTTCCATGAGTCTTCCTTTTTCAATAATTCCACAAAATTCATTATCACTCACAAACTTAGTTTCACTATAAAATTTATCTAGTAACTGTATCTCATTTATTCCATATGTAATTAAATCTCTCTCATTATCAGGAAGTTCTTTTGGATCAAAAATATTAAAAGAGAAATATAATTCAGATCCAGGGAATCTATTTGAACTTGTTTCTATTATTGCCAATGAGTACTCTTTGACAAACAAAGGTACTGACTGATTATATTCATCTAAATATTTTTTAAATATTATGCCATAATTTGGTGGAATATCTTCATAACCTATAAATTCAGAGATTATATCTTTAATTGTGTTGTCAAGAGTTAATTTAAATTTTGATATTGATAGATTTTCTAATTGAAATATATTGATTAATTTTTTTAAAATATTTGTTAAATCAGCAAGAAACATTGTTGCAGAAATAAATTCTTGATCTAATTGATTCAATAAAACCTCTGATTGCTGATCACCATTTTCCATATCATCATTTATAGCAGCAAGTACAGAGTTCATAATTTGATGCAAGTTATTTACAGAATTTGAAAATGATAGCCATCGAGTGTCACATGAATTCAATACTCTAAGTGATGGTTCATTATTAATTTCCTAATGTTTATATAATAATTAATAAAATGAAAAAATTCATAAAGCAAAGTATTTAAATAATTTTAGAAAATGAATAATTACCTGCATTAATTTTAAAATATCTTGCCTGTTATGTGATCTGGAAAAATACCCATATAAATTATGTAATGTCTTTTCATATTTTTGAAAATATATTACTTTATTAGAAGCATCTTTTCCTGCTAAATGAAGCCTATGTGACACACAATGATTTGATGACATGAATGGATTGATTTTTTTAAACCTTGCTGCAACACCACTTTTATAACCAGTCATATTAGATGCACCATCACTTCCAAAATGAATTATATTGTCACAAGATATCTCATTTAAGTTACAAAATGACATGATATTGTTATAAATGTTTTCTCCAACAGTTGAGTCTAGATTAATCATGCCCAAATATCTCATAATTGGCATATTATTAGCAATGTATTTTCCCACAATTGCCAAATATTTATCATGATCAATACTATTGGCTTCATCAATCATTAAGCTCCAATAAGATGAAGAATTTAATTCTTCAATCAATGACTGTTTTATCACAAAGGCTATACTATCTAAAAAATCAAACCCAGCCATGGGATTTTTATAACTTGCATATTTTGATCTAGATGGTAATGGTTTTTCTAAAGAAGCAAGTTTTAAAGTAGAAATACTCTCACTAATTATCAATTCATCATTATTTTCAATTTGTAGTGATATTAAATTACATAAATCAGGATAAGTATTTAAGGAAAGATTTTGTTTAGATAAAAATTAAACATTTCTTATTAATGAAATAATGAATAATTTTTCTTTATCTAATAGTTCAGATACATTGTCGGAAGCCTCTGATAATGTATCTGAACTATTTGATTCACTATTATCTGAGTTAAGAAATTGTAATTCTGATTCTTTATGTTCATGGGTATTTAAATGTCGCTTAATTCCATCCAGTCTTAAACTTTCTGTGCCTAGTGCAAATTGTGTACTCCCATTTCTATTTCTACAGAGTTTACAAAAAAGAATAGTATTTTCATTAATTACTTCAGTTTCTAACCATGTATAATGAAGAAACCATTTTTTATTAACTTTTTTTCTAGAATGTAAATATTCTGGTTCATTTTCTGATTGTTGTAAATTGTGATTATTAAACATTTTTATATGAATTAATTAATATTAATGAATTAATTTGATCAATTTTGATTTAATTTATTCAACCAGAGTATTTATTAAAAAAAATTGTACATATTCAGTCATAGATAGATGTCAAGCTGAAATTGTTCTTGGAAAAAAAGATAAAGCTTCGGCTTTATGTTTATTTTTAGCTCGGGTGTTCGGATATATAAATTTACGCACATCCTAAAACAAATATTAATTTTTTTTGTTACACGGATTTTTTGCACAAATTTTTACCAATGTTTATTGGTTGATTCTTGTGTAATCAAAACCCGCACATTCCGCACATTGAATTTTATACACTGTATTTATCTATGATTCGTTTCATTAAAATTAGCTAATCAAAAGCAATTTCGTATTCACACGCACGACACTCCACTCTGATTGGCTAAATTATCACGTGATAATGTCGCGTGAAGTTACTACTAGTACGAATTTAGAACTTTCCCTTTCACGTTTAGAAATAATTTTATTGGCCAATAAATACAATATAAAATTACACATTATATACGTATATAATAATTATTTGATTGCATAAAAAACTATATATTTATATTAGCAAAATTAAAAGAAAAAAACCACATTTCTGTCTTGGGGAACACCGTGATTTTTAGCATCCTTGCTATTTATTTTATACATTTTATTATTGTTATCTGGTAAAAAAGAAAATCTTAATTAAATGATAATATTTTTAATACAATAAAGCAACACTTCTAAAATATATAAAAATTTTTTTAGTGACATTAATGCCTTTCTTCAACCATTTTCATTCATTTGTATTTTTATTAAAGAATTATAAATGTACAATCAACCCTCTAAGTGCAACCTATCTAAATTTATGCATTTCTCATTTCCAAGCTTACAGTGAGCTTATAAAATCTCTCTCTCTAAATGCACGCTCATGAGTGATAGTAGGACCACGGAAAATCATAATTGAGGTCATATTAATATGGTAAAAATCCTTTTTAATAAAGAAAAAGTAAAAAACATATATAGAGGTTTATTCTTCTATATATCATATGAAAATTTATGAACTCTACACACTTAAGATGTGTTTTAAATAATTCTTTGTTTTTCTCTGATTGGCATTGAAACAAGGTAAATAAGCAACATAATCCCGTCTTATGTTGGAACATTATAAAAACATAACCAGTCCGCTTAAATTTGCCAATTGATTGATGTGGAAAAAGGAGTTGCTACTTCCACTATGCTTGAAGAGATAGAGATTGATGACAATGAGATACAAACATTATTAGTGGTAATATTATTGATAATAGTTATCAAAAAAGTAGTAATAAAGTGGAAGTTGGATTTTTGTTGGAGTGCCCAAAGAACAGGTAATACTCACAATGGCTTTGGTCCGAGTATTTTCCCCCAATGCAAGTGCTCTGACATTTTTTAACTTGTAGTTTTGATTTTTTTTTTCCTATAAACTATTATGTATTTTTCTACAAAAAAAATTTAAAATTTTTACATTTTAAAAATGGCAACCCATCAAAAAGATTGAAAGAATTGGAAGAAGCTAATAAAAGGCTGAAAAAAGATATTATGGCAATTAATTAAATACAAAATTGGCTTGTAGGTTTTTTCACAAGTTTAGTAAACGAAGTTGAAAAGGAGATTTGATTATTATTTGTTTAAATTAATCAAAAAAAAATTTTTTTAGGATTTATACAAAGATAGATTCTTTTCATGTAAATTTTAAAACAAGCAAGATTGCACCATTTGGATAATATATATTTTGAAATTTATCAATGTGATTATAATAATGGTAGTAATGGTAATAATAAGAATTACAAAAATCAATTTACATTACCTACATGTGTATTATAATGATTTCAATTTATTTATTCTAAAGTTCTAATCATCAACCAACTAGTAAATATAATGAAGCATAAAGGTAATATAACCTCATTATGAGATAAGTTCTAAAGTTGCAGGTTGACAAATCAGACTTGTTATCTTTCTTACCAATACAAAATTTTTTATTGTTCTTTTTTCACTAAATATAAAAAAATAAACAATTATTATTAAAAACTGTTTTTTTCCTCTCTTGAATAAATATACACAAAATTCACCTTTTTTGTTGTCTTAGAAGCTCAAGTATTTTAATTAAAGAACAACACCCAATTGCAAACCCGTGGCCTTGAGAAAACGAAAACTTTCCAGTGGTAACATATCCAATAATTTCAGATGGTTTAGGTAGTAAATTATGATCCTACATTTATTTAATTGTTATTATCACTTCATTATTGTTTTTATACAAAAAAAAAGACAAATTAAAAAATCATTTACTTTTTTGATATTACTTCCATAGTTCATCTCCCCATTAAAAAAATCCATTTCATCATATATCTTTTTATTCTTCAACAAATCAGACCAATGATCATATATTTCTTGACTAGCCTTATAAATTATAGCATTATAACCCGGTACTCCTTTACCTAATAAATTTAAACTAACACATACAATGAATCTATCTAAATCAAATGATAAATCATCTACTAAGCAAACATTTTTTTCTTTGTATGAGTTTTTTATTTGGCTTATAAAAGTGTTTTTAAAAGAATTATTAGTTGAAGAATGAAACTTTTCTAATAGTTTAATATTTTTCAACCCATGAAATAACAAAGGCTTTTGAGTATCTATTTCCTCCTCTTCCTCTTCCTCTTCGACCTTTTTATTATCATTGTTAACATCAGCAAGATTTTTTGTGACATGTCCTGTTAACTGATAAAATGGTGGTTCAAATGGTGATTCAACAAAAAGTTTTTTGTAATTTGGGCGCTTTGCTGATGGTCTTTTGTTATGTTCCGATTCTAATAACAATTTTTGTTGTTTAGAATATTCTTCATATGATTTAGTGCCAGGATAATCATATGGGAAACATATTAATCCATTCTCAAAATGATTATTATGACGTTCTCTGAGTCCTATACAAAAATCATCAAAAACCAATATGTAAGTATAATATCCAAACCATCAGTATTTACATTTTAATATATGTGTGTGCGTTTATTTACCACCAACCCATGCACCAGCAAATACAAAACTTTTCCAGAAATCCATTCCCCAACCAGATGGCATAATTATATTCCATCCACCAATATATTCTGAAGATTTGCCTTTTATTGACGTTGCTTTAATCATTGAATCTCTTTGAATCAATAAAATTGGAATCAGCGCATCATTTGAAGTCAATTGTAATTTTTGACCTGGTACAAGTAACTATGTATTTATTTATTAAAAAAAGTTATAAACAAATATAAAATAATAATATAAGTAACTACTGAAATAGGTGCTTATTTACCCTGCTTCTTCTTTTATTCAGGTTACCTTCTGAAACTTTAATTTCTTGTAAAGATTTTCGCAAATCATTGTTCCATATATCAGAAAATGCAACATTATCTGGCCAATCAAATAAAATTCTTTGAATTGCATTTTCAGAATCAATAGAAATAGTATCTGAACGTGATGGTACTTTTTTTGGAAATCTATTAAAAATAAATAAATTGACATGATTTGATCACTTTTGAAATAATTATGATCTATACTAACTTTAATCGTGGATCTATCACAGTTAAGCCTAAAACTATTCCTGGGGGTAAAGAAGTTGCACTACGTAAATTACTTAAAGATTTCCAAGTCTTAAAATTGATAAAGTATAGTTAAGCACAATCAGCTTTAATATATTTATATAATAGTGTAAAGGTTTATATTCACATTATGAGCATCTTTATTGACATAGGGTACTATTCGTTGATTTTTATCAATAGACATGTTTGTACCGTTACCATTATCATCATTTCCATCATAAACATCCAATACTGTTTGCAGTAAAGCAGTTGATCTTGGACCAGTTAATTCGAAAATTAAAAATTCATCTTGAAGATTTTCAATAATTAAATCTGTTGAAGAAAAATTATTTTCATTAAAAATCTTCAATGAAAAATCATTAACCGTTTTTAGTTTGGTTTAGTTTACCTTGATTTAATTCTAATTTCTTGATCGCACTCTCCAAAGTACCAATTGCTTCTTGAAAAACACAAGGATGTATCCAAATAAGAATATGTCTTGTTGTTCTTTGATTAAAATCTTGTAAAGGTTTCCAAATTAGATTTATTGGTGCAATGAGATGAGATGGATATTTCAAAAATGAATACAAATAGGTAAAGCATTGTCTTTTCCCATTCAAATATCTTTAAAAGTTTTGTTGTTAATATATAATCAGTATACCAAAACTTAACTCTATTAATAAATGATAAGAAGGAAAGGAGAATACAAATACCTCTGGCTTCCAATTGATGGCAAAGTTGGGTCTGTTACAGAATTCATAAGTTTTACGATATTAGCTTCTGATCCTGATAAACTTAACCATTCGAAATATGATACATCTTGAATAATGGATAAATGTTCGCTTGCTCGAAATGAAGATCTTACACTTTTCTCATTTGGATGTTCTGCCTTTTTTTGAAAAATAAATATATATATTATTAAATTGATAACATTTATTTCTCAATGGAAAAATGATTAACTATTTTATTAACCAATTTGTAACCCCAAATATTAATCATCTTCATTCTTTTAGCGTGCCATATATGTGTTTCTAGCCATTTTTTATTAGCTAAGATAGCAATAAAACAACATTAACAAAAAAAAAGACATAAATAATCATTTTTGAGTCCTAAAAAATAATAGATATTGAATATTTTAAATACCTTTTCTTCGCTTATATTCTTCAGCGATTGTACCTGAATATCTTTTTTTATGTCCGCTAGTTTTTTTTTGAACAGTATTATCATGTTCCATCTAAATCAATAATAATTAATGTCAAATATATAATAAATGCATATGTAATATAGCTAGTAGCAAACCTCCTCGGTGGCTTTTTGTCTAAGACGAGCTGGTAATCGTTTAACATTATGGCTCGCTGCTCGACGTCTAAGATGTCTTGGAAGTGTTTGTGAAACTTTTGAATTTTTCGCCTGACTATTTAAGAAAAAAATGTTTTAGAAAATATAGGGTTTATTATGATTTTTTTATTAATTATATGTGAATGATAAAAACCTTGAACGTTCTAAAGCATTATTCATAGCATTTATCTCAAAAGCTCGAGCCTGATTTTTTGAAATTGTAATAAATTTTAGATCAATTATTCAATTGATCAATGAATTAATTAATATCATTATCAAATACTTCAGCAAAATCCAGCACATCAATTATCTTTGGCGTATAAGTGGGAGCTATATACATATACATACAAAATTTTACATATCATTAAAAAATTTCTTATATATAAAACAATGTCAACATTTTTGAGCTACCTTTTGTTGAGCCTTCTCCAAAGGTTTCAATATTCCTTTGAGAAAATTTTTTGGCCCGTTTTCTTTCTCTAGAAGATTGTTGTTCATTATTGTTACTTTCACATCTTTTCATGTTTATTTTTTTTTTAGGAAAATCTTGATCTTTGATTGCACGTAAGCCGCAGCACAGGTTTTTGTGTACTTGTAGTGTCCGCTGGAATACGAGGTTACACTGGAATTCAAAAGAATTCAGCTAATGAATTTTTTGTAAAGAAAAAATTTAAAATTTTTAATGGGTAAACAAATTTAAAGAAAGCAATTGTTTCTTCATTTTATACCCATTGGAATGATTAGTTGGAGACTTTCTTTCTTAACAATCACATTTCAAATGTTTGTTGTTCACTTGGTAAAGCTCCGAACGGTTCGGTTTGGTTCGGTTTACGTTTGACCCAAAAATTTCAGACATTCTAAATTCGTTAACTACGCAAAAATATACAAAAAAATTTATAATAATTGTAGCTTAGTTTAGCGGATGTGTTACGAAGTAGAGATGCTAGAAGGATCCTGTTTCTAAATACATACATAATCTATAATTTTATACCATGGTAACGATGGTGTGGAGATCATGATTGAATTTTATACATAATGCCATGTTTAGATACAGCTGGTCAGTTATAGGTCGGAACGTTACATATTCATAGATTCACCACAAAAATTTATTCGAATTATTCGTTTATTCGTTCTATTAGTTTTATTCGAATTATTCGAATTATTCATTTTATTCGTTTCATTCGTTTCATTCGTTTTGTTCGAATAGAAATCCTAAGGATGTTCTACTTTTCCAATTCATATATAAAATTCATCGCCTCCGCAAACTTTTAAACTCTTATTGTTTCAGGTTCTAAAATACAAAGCCTTTGAGTAATTAAGTCTGTGCCTCAGAAAAAACTCGTTCATTGGTTGTTATTAGATTAGAGTGCAAAAATTAGAATACCAGGAACTGCCAAGTAGTTTTTAGCCTAAGCTCTGAACAGTTCGGTTCGAACCGAAATTCATGATCTAGCAAATGTTTTCCAATGCTTTTTATTGTGTTTGAAATTCCTAAATCTTGAACTTCTGTTTTAGCCTTTTTTTTGTTGTACATCCTTTACAGATCACCAGACAATTACTCTGATTTACCTTTATATTTTTATCAGTATAAACAAATTCATGGAATACATGATTTGGTTTAAAAAAAAATTTTTTATCAAAATAACACTGGAATAATCATTGGAACACTGGAATCACTGGAATGTGAAAATTCCAGTGTTCCAATATGGCGCATAATACCTTTGTTCCATTGAGTGTTCCAGTGTTCCATATTCCAGTTATTTGTCACTAGAATAAAAATTTAACATCCCTGATCTTGTATTCTTTTAATGATAAATATTTATTATTTGTTCTAACTTCATTTTTTCCCAGGTTCATTATAGAAAATTGCTGGACATGAACAGAATTGATGTTACGATTTGCATCAAAGTCTTGATACTCACTTAAAATATCTAACGCAATTAGAAGCAGTGCTAAAGACAGAAATTTACCTTAGATGATGCGATGAAAATAGAAACATATGGTATTGATGATCAACTCATTCAAGAAGAGTGTGATGAATTAAAACCTAATTAATCAACCAGCAAGTATTGAAGTTTCTAAAAGAAATTATCAGCCTGAATTAGTAATTGTTAAACAAAAAATTACTACAAAAGAAGTATTCTTTTCTTATATTCAAAGATCCACCTGGAAATCCTACTTTTGAATTTAAAGATAAAAGCAATTAAAACCATATATCCAAGCATGCTGCTGCTCTTAAAAAAAAAAAGAATAGCTGGCTTACTAAATATATTATTTTCATTATATAATTAACTAATTATTATTTATTTTTTTCCTTTGTTTTTAATATACAGTATTAATATTTATCAATTGCAAAGACTCTGAAGATAAGTTTCTTTGATTTTCATTCCTTGACAAATTATTGGATCTTGTGGAATTTTTCACCTTTGCAATTAGCTTTGCCATTTTATTTGAGATTTGTCAATGCAACAGAAGTTTCAAAAAGATTTGGGTAAATGTTCCAAGGTAATTAGTATCAATGTGTAGTTGAAAATCTTTATATAAATATTTATGTGCAAAGTTTACACCACAATGGCCTTGTTATAACAATAACATATTCTTGTTTATTAAAATAATCAAATAAATTATTATTGTTGTGATATTGATGAGGAAAGAGAAGATGATACAGTTCGAAGTGAATTGTAATGAGAACCTAACCCATACATATGACGATGAAACCTATGTTATTATTATTGATTGTGGTGTAAATTATATATATAAAAATGAAAATGAAATTAAAGATAGATAGGTATTAGTTATAGAAATTCAATAATAATAATAAAACAATAATAAAGGATACGATAAAGTTATTGGATCTTTGTTTGGAAACTCTTCATCAAGAACTTTTAAAATTGGAGAATTCATTTGTACAATATGAACTGGAATTTGAAAATATCTTGATAATGCCAAAATCTATAAGAATTCAATTAATCAATTATGATTATGATGACAGTAATAACAATAGTAATAGTAATAATAATGATAGTATCATTATTATTAATTTAATAGTAACAATGATGATGATAAAAATAAATACTTCTAACTGTCCACCCCATATTGCAGTATTTTTTAAATCATTACAATATTTTTGATATTGTTCTAAATTCATAATTATGAATAAAATTTTAAAATTTGATTTGTAAAGTGTAAGAAATAATTATTAAATATTTATATTAATAATGACCAACCTAAACTACACATTTCACCATCTTGTGAAGCTGGAACAAAAGGTAAAAAATCATCAACATGTTCTTTCATATAATCTGCTGCTTTTTCCCTTAAGTCTTTGTAATTAATCTATCAGTTTACAAATTATTATAATTATTAATATCATTATCATCATCATCGTCATCATTATTGCTTGTAAAATATCAATCAATCAATCAATAATATTATTACAAACATTTATTTGATATTTCTCTTGCAATTGATCAGAAATTGCATTATAAAGACTAATAATATATGATTAATCATTAGTAATAATAATGTTTTTATAATAATAGTTAATTAACTAATTAAGTTTACCAATGACCATCTGGATTTATCTAATTTGTAGTGAAGAAATAAATAATATTTGTAAAAAGTAATCAATCAAATCTTTCATATAGAGAGTTATTTCAATGACAAGAAATATTACCTCTTTAATAGTAAACCCTAACTTAGATATAATTTGATTAATAGAATTCGACTCAACTTCTTTCATATTGACTTGGTTCTTTATTTCTTCATCTGCCTCTTGTTCTAATTCTTTCAGTTTTGCTGCCTTACGCTCCTAATTGTCAATATCTTGTATTAATAATATCTTGTAGATATAATAACAGTATTGTTTCATTGATACTATCATTAAAATAAATAAATCAAACTGATAACTTTTTACATTTCAGCACCTTTCTAAGTTTTTGACGATTCGGCTTCTTTGAGGGTGACAAAGTTTGGTTCTGTTTATTTTCTTCCATTTTTTTAAACAAAGAATATGACGAATTTAATTTAGTGCGATGTATTTAGCTTTAAAAAGGGGATTTTCGGTCATTTTTTTCATATATCAGTCACAGGACACGTCACGCAGATCAATAGGGAGTTGTAAAACATTTTTGATGATCTGCATCATAGTAAAATTTTACAATAAAGTGACTTCTAATCCCCATTTAATACCCTTGCTGTGTAGCAGCCACTGCCAAATTTGAGATATAACTTCTTTATCATATGTATCTGCTTTAAGAAAATTTTTAAATCAGGTTGTTAATAAAACCAAAAATAATCTGACTCTCAAAGTCAAATTTTGCCTTTATATTCATATATGTAAAATTTTGTTTGATGCGTCCAATCGCAAGTATAAGTATAATTGGCTCGGTCTAAAGACCTCCTAAATTTTGGGCAAATTTTAAAAGTATAGAAGTCATTTTCTGTGCTACTTTTTTAAAAAAAATAGCCTCATTAGTTGGTAAAATAGGTTTCTACTTTTAATGTAATGAAGAGGTTTTCTCCAAAAAATTATTTATTGTAGAGTTCTATTCTTTTTTAAAACATGTACTTTACTATGCTCATTAGAAATTTGAGCACTAGGATCATTGCTAAATTAGACTAGTTTTTGATCATCATTCCTAAATTTAGCCTAATACTCGACCATTATATCTAAATTTGGCAGTAAGGAAAATAGTTTTTTAACCAAAATCACGTGTAATCCTTTTTTAAAAAAATTTATTGCATTTTTGAACGAATCACGAAATTGCAATTTTTGAGCCAACCATATGAAATTTAAAAAATTTGCCCGGATCGGCATTAATTAAATCCTTTCCTTAACTGGTGGATCACGAATTAAATATGTATTAACAAAAAATGAATTATTTTTAGAAAATATCAGAAGAAATTTTTTTTTAAAAATCAGTCGAAGCCTCCTTGGAAATTTCAATTAGCACTATTGTTATGAGAACAATGACTTTACATTTTGCAAATATCAAGAAAGAACTTCCAGTCTTCTTTTTTTAGATAAAATGAAATTTCTTTTAATTTCAAAGATTTCTACTATGCTAATAATGTGTAATGGGGAAGAAAAAAAACCAATCAATCTAAGATTTGAGAAAGCCTCTTATCTCCTATTTACACAGAACCAATCATCTTAAAAAATCCTAAATCCAAAAAAATTTATCTTTGTTACCATCAACAATTGAAATTCGTGAATGGTTTTTGATCAAAGTAAAAATTTGGCTAATCGCGAAAAATAAAAAAAAAGAATTAGTTGATTCGTTTTTTTTAAATAACAATAAACAATAAAGATTGATTGTTTATTTAATGATAACAAAAATAAAGGTTGATTGTTCAATGATAACGAAAATAAAGATCAATTGTTTTTTTTTATTAAAAAATAAAAAAAATAAAGATTAATTGTTTTGTCACAAGAAATAAATAAATAAGTCTGCCATCTTAACCTTTTGTTTTTTTTTTATGTTTATTAAAAACAACAGATGTTGATGTTGATAATGAACAAATTCGGTTGCCTTTTCTGTTCATTCTGCCGTTGTTGATACTGTCCTCTCCAACCAGAAGATTAATTTTGAGCTTAACAGGAACCCTGCAAGCAGAACTCAATTCCCTATCCAGAACGCTTTTGGTCTAACAGTCCACAAGACACAAGGGTTAACCTTTCCAAGTATATCTGTCTGCCTTGACCAACAGATATTTGCTTCTGGACAGGCTTATGTTGCTCTCAGTCATTGTGCCAAATGGGAAGATCTCAGAATTAACTCTCTTTCAAGGGAGGCGTTCATGGTTGATCAATTGATGGTTAGGGAGTATGCTCGGCTGGAAGAAATTGCTGCAAAATCATTGTCTATTAACAACAATTCATAATGATAAAATGAACATTTGTCTTTATCTTTTTTTTTTTTATAAAATCATTATTATTATATACATACACACGCATTCAAAAAAATTATTTTTTTTATTTTTTTTTCTGATGTTGTGGACGTGGTAAATAAATAACTTAATATTAATATATATATATATGGTATATAATAATAATTGGGCGACGTTAGTCGCCCCACAGATGCAATTGCTAGTTTATTTTAATAATATTGAAACATACAACTTTAGCAGAAACCGAAAATCAAGATATAATTAACAAATTTCAATTTTTTAAAAAAAGAATCGACCTCCTCTATATTATCAATCCATATGTAAATTATTTATTTATTTATTTATATTTATATTTTGTTGTATATATAAATAAAAATTTATCATGATACGATTTAGTTGAAGTTGACACAGAAGAAATAGATTTTACAAATGAGGCAACCATAAAGTTTCCAGAGAGTAAAGAAACATTTGAAATTAATTATAATGAACAAAATGGGGTTAGTGCGTGTGTATTTATTTATTTATTTATGTACTTGCGTTGAATTCTAGGCGGAGGATCGTAATAATAATACTTATCATCCAGAAGCCATTAAAAAATGTTTAATGATTTTTGATGAGGAAACAAACATAAATATTTTTTTTATTTAATTAACATTAATATTAATAATTGAAAAAAAAATTTTTAATATTTTATTTTTTGAATTTAGACATGGTCATTAGAAATTGTGAAATCTAGTTATCATGTTAATACAGGTGAATTTGATAATTTTGAAACATCTAGTGAACTGCAAGAATTTGCTATAAAATTTGGCGAAATGGTTGAAGATTACAATGCTGATGTTGATTTTAATAATAATAATGACAATTATAATGATATGGAAGTGGATGAAGATGATGATAATCCATGGGGAGAGGATTATTTAGAAGTAGTAGAACCTAATACAATACAAAAAATAAGACACCTACAAAATGATGATGATGACAATGACAATGATGACAATGGTACAAGAAATAATTCATCAGATTCAGCTTCATCTGATGATAGTAGTAGTAATGATAGTTCATCTGAAAATGGTAATGACAAGGATGATTCAGATTCTGGGGAATCAACATTGAATCCTGAATTTGTTGAACTCACATCAATGATGAAAACTTCATTGAATCAAGAAAACAGAATCAATAACTTAAATTGTACTAAGATAAAAATAAATAACAAGGTAAGTTAATAAATCTTGTACATGTAGATATGAATGATATAGCATATATACATATTAGTTAATTAGTCAATCAATCATCTGTTGTTTGTTTGTTTAGTTGAATGTTGCAGCAAATCATAATTCATGTCCTATGTCATTAGAACAATTTTTGGGTGGTGGAGGTATTTGTTATTATAGTGTTTATTTATTCCATGTTTATGAATTAATTATTTAATTAAATGAAATTTTTGCATTTCTTTTAATTGAATAAACAAATGGTATGCAATAATCCTCATGAAGAAAAAGAAGAAAATGATGATGAAAATGGTTCCTCATCATAAATAATAATCAACTTTTTTTTTTTTGGAGGAAATAATGAGATGGATAATTGTATTTTATTTTTCCAATATTTAATATTTATAGAAACCTTAGATAATTTTTAAAATAATCCTGTGATGATGGTCAATTTATCATTTGTCATGCTAATCAATAATAAGTAAAAAAGTACATTTACATAGATTATTTTTATTTGATCATTGATTTTTGTTTTAATTATCATTTTATTTTATACATTTATACATTTTAAAAAAAAAAATTCATAATAAGAAATATTAAGCAAATAGCAAAAGATAAAAAAATGAAGAATGCTTTTTTAAATGCTTTTTTAGCTACAATATATATATATGTACATATATATATGTTACTATTGCATAGGAGACATATTCAAATATTCACTTAATGAAAATGCAGTATCTGGTGTTTTCATATCATTAATTGATCGAATTTGGTTTGGAGGGGTTCCTGGACATTCAATCAAATCTTTTGATGATGATGAAGATGAAAAAGAGGAAGAAGCATCAATATTTTCTTTCCATGGACCAACAGTTGTTTTTTGAATCTTTTGGTTTTTAATGGCACGATTTGAATCTTCCCCCCAATCTACTTTTCTTCTACGTGACGATGATAACGAAGAGTTTTTTATTGTTGGTGATCCATAGTTCATTAAAGTCCATGAGTGATGATTATTATTATTGCTACAGTAATGATGATGTTGGCGGTGATGATCATTGTTAATAATATAGTTATTAATATGATGATGGTTATTGTTGTTGTTGTTGTTAAATCTATCTGACCCATAAGCACCATAATTTCTTTCTAATGAATTTAAATAGAGTTCTATGGAATTAGGATTCACCTCTATTGGGAAAAATGGAGGCAAAGTTTGTTCAAGAGAAGATGCATCAAAAGATGATAATGAAGCTGATTCTTGATGCAATGATGATAAAATAATAATAAGCAAAAAAATATAAATATTAATATTAAATATTGTTAATGTTGGAAAATAAATAAAGTTATTAAATTGATTGGTTGATTACCTGTTGTAGAAGAGATTCTATCATTATTATTTAAGCAGCGTTTTCTAGTAATAATTCTTTTATTATTGTAGTGGTTGATATTATCAGTTGAATCATTAATATCAGGTGATGATGATTTTGGTCGTTTTACTAATGAATCAAGTATTTCAAAGACAGCTTTAGCTTTTTCATCAGTGAATCCATTTTTTGATGGAGGTATGGGAGAAACATGAAATGGAAGATGTATTCTTTCTTTATTTGGATAGTTTTTATAATCTTTTAATTTTTGTTCTATCATTCTTTCACATGTTGATATATCACAATTTTGTAAACCCCATTTTACTTTAAAATAAGCAAACTGAAGTCCTGTTCTTAATTTTTTTGCAATCTAAGCATTGATGTTTATTTATTTATATATTGTAAATAACTTCAAATTAAAGTGGAAATATATAATATTAAAAATATTTATCTTTACCTCATAAATGTCTTTTACTTTTGAATGATCTATTATGGGTTTTTCTGTTAAGAGTTTAACGATTTCTTGTAATTCTTTTGTCTCATCAACATTCATTATGAACTAATTAATAAATATATAGTATTGTTTAATTGTCAATACATTCACATTTATATAATTATTTATAAAAAATAAAATCTTACATATTTTTTTTTATTTTTTGATATAAAATAATTCCTTGTGAATATTTTTTTTTTTTATTGTTAAAGAAAAGAGATTGATGATTGATAGGAGAGCATGGTTTATTTATTTGAAAAACCTTTTGACTTTTTGGAGGGAGTTAATTGAACTAATTGGTGATAATAGTGTGAAGTTTATTAGAAAAGGTTAGAAGATGAATATGCAAGCAAAGTCAAAGGATGGGTTGTTTACTAAAAAGGGTAATTAAACAGCTGCTTAAGCATCGTGAATTTATGTCGATTAATTGTTTATGTTACATGTCATGTACGTTAAATCTTGAATTGAAAAATAATCAATCATAAATTAAGATTAATTAATTAATAAAATGGAATCAAACATTTTCCCACTTGTTCGAATAAGAAAATTAATTCGAATAAGAAAATTGATTCGAATAAGGAAATTAATTCGAATAAGGAAAATTAATATTAATATTAATATTAATATTATAAAGCAAATAATTCGATTCGGATAAAACAAATGATTAAGGTCCAGTTTAAATTCAAGCTCACTGGAAAGATTCTATTTATTAAAAGAAACATGAATCTTGTTTCAGTCTTTCCTTATTAATTTCATTTTTAATTTCAATTTTTTTAATAATAAAATCAATATTAAACCTTGTTGTATATATAGTTTGAATATTTAAGTAATTGAACAACCCATGATTCCAAATAATCTAATAAAATGAATGAACAAACCCAAGATTCCGATAATGAATAAAACAATAAAACAAATAATTTGAATAAAGCGAATTAAAATTTTAATTCGAATAAACTTTTTAATTCGAATTAATATTAAAGGTCAACTGTATTACGAATAGAAGTCCTAGTCCAAGACCATCCTGCCCCAAGTACCTTCTGAACATAGCCACCAGTTTTTTTAATAATAACAAGAATGACAACAAGCAGCAATAACCACCACCATCATTCTGAAATGCCTGTATGCTCTTTATTCCTTTTTCTTATTCACAGCAGCAGACATTATTTAAAAAAAAAAAACAACAAAATATTTATTTTGGTGTTGTACAAAAATTTCGCGCAAAGTTGATGATAAATCATATTTATATAATTATAAAAAGATTAAAAACCACGTTTTTAATTGGTGCTTCACCGGAATTTGAATTAACAATCTGAACTAAACAATTTTTTACGATTAAAGACACGAGTTTTTTTTGATCTTATGGTAATTTATTAATAGCTTAATTCATAATGTACAAAGAAAACAGGCGACGCCAAGATTAATGATATGGCCCGGCTAAATTAATTAGATGATAATAATAACAAGTTTCTCTTAGCATCTATTTTTACGTCTAGAATTCTAGTGCAGAATTCAGTGGATCCATTTGCATCACTTAGAATGACAAAAGAAAAACATACATTTTCTTAAAAATAATAATCCGATGCTCATAGCAGGATAAAAGATAATAATAAAGAAAGAAATATTAATAGTTGGAGTTTCTATTCGTAATATAACTCAAACTTAATTCGAATAAACCTTGTTGTTCTAATAGAAACCCTGGTAATAGTGAACGGCGAATTTGGAGATATAATAATAATAATAATAACGATAGTAGTAGTAATTAATCCTGGCTAAGGTTTTTCTACTGGCTGACATCACTATCCAGGATGTTTGCTATTAAATTAGGTTTTAACTTTTACGCTAAAAAAATTTAATATTAAATGACGGATTTGACATAAAAATTGCTTTGATAATAAAAAAAAGTTTCTGCTATACCCAAAACAGTTAAATGATTTTTTTCTAACAGTTTTTTAGTAATAAATAAATTCAATTAAATATTTAATATTTAATATTAATCTTAATATTGTCGACTTAGCGTTAGATTAATATATAAACAAAAAATTTAATTTTTATAATATCAATAATATGATCTTCATCATACTAACCATACGATATGTTTTTTATGAATAAAAGTAAATATTTCAAGCCTTATATTTATTTCATTACTGTACTAAGTAAACAGAGCCTGATATTTTCGCCAATTATAGCTTATATATTATAGATTAATATTATGTAAAAACTTTAATTTGGTCAGAGGACTTCAGAACCGGTTTTTGACTATCCTTTGCTCTTGCAATCTTCCAAAATTTTATATAAAAAATATCATTAAAAAAAAATAAATCATATAAATAAAAAACATAAAGCAAATAAATTAATAAACAGAAAAGTTGCTAGAGGCTTACTGGACCTTTATTGTAAAATCAATTTAGACTTCATTGGTTCTAAAGGTCTTCGTAGATCAGACCTCACTATCTTTTCCAAATCATTGATGTAATGAAGGCAAAACAATCGGTATAATTAGCATAATCATTAATTAGTTTAGTCTATATCAGTGCATTAATGCTCGTAATATTTAAATCTATATAATAATTTACTTATATCATTTGTGGTGGTGGTAATAGTAGCAGTTGCCTTAAAAGTTCACATTCAAAAAGTTCCAGAAAATGTGCAACAGCACAAGCAAGCTACTCATTATCTCCAATTATTCCTCCGGCGTGGTTTTATTAGACGAATTGTGTATGGTATTGGTGATAAATAATCATATCTTGAGAGATGATCTGTCACCAATACAGTTGTCACTTTCTTCAGAAAGATGCTCATCGGCATCATCACATATGAAAGAGCCATTACAAATATTATTATTTGTTTTCAAAGAAGGCAAATAGTTTCTTTTCCTTGGCACATACATGACTTTACAAATTTATTGTAATTTTTCATATATTGCGATCATAAAAAAAAGTGACATTGAAGCAAAAAAGTCTTTTGGTTCCTAAATAACAACAACCTGTCGTCATCATCTCCAACGTTGCTATCTTCTTGCTTCCGGTGGATCTGTTCTTTTTAGTGTTTTGAAGAAGGAGCTGTTACTTTTAGATGTCTAAAAAAGAAATAAATACAATGCCAAATCATTTTACTCTTCTATTTTTGTTCTTTTATTCATTATTAAATGCAAGCTTGACACCAGAATATATCTATTGCAGTAAATTAAACCATTTTGTCGAGGTTCAAACCAGTGAGTGTATTGATAACTATTTGTTTTGACAGCTTCCATTGTAAAAATAATATTTAGAATTCGATTGATCGTCGTCAATTTAGGTAAGATAATCTTTTTAATCTTTTTTTAATCTATCATACTATATTAATTATTGAAAATGTCCACTTTACATTTAACCAATTCACCAACAGAAGTAGGCTGTTCAATTCCTCCAAACACACCACATGCTATATCAGTAAATTTACCAAATTGGCAAGATAACGTTGATTATGAAGAAGGTCAATATAATCACCCTCCACCCATCACATTACTATCCCCACTAAAAACTTTAGTTAAACTAGAAACCAAAATATCAACCCATTGTAATACTTCAACATTAACAAAATTTCCAATTGTTTCATCTAAAACAATTAGAAAATCATATTTGTCTGCAAGTGCTCGAAGTCTTTTTAGATCTGGTGATTTTAATAGAGGATTTGATGGGAATTCACAAAATAGTCCAAGGATTTGCTCATCACCAGACTCCAATAATTTCTCAATCTATCATACTATATTAATTATTGAAAATGTCCACTTTACATTTAACCAATTCACCAACAGAAGTAGGCTGTTCAATTCCTCCAAACACACCACATGCTATATCAGTAAATTTACCAAATTGGCAAGATAACGTTGATTATGAAGAAGGTCATGAAAGATTAATTTCTCGGTTATCAACTGGATATCCAAGATTTTTCATACATAATCAAATAAAAAAAGTAAACCAAAGTTTCTCTTTTTATTTTTTTGGTGAAAGGAAATGAAATATTTACAATTCTGCATCACACTCTTCATTTATTTTTTAGTTAATTTCAATATGCGAACAAAAATTTGCAAAACCAACAGAATCATGTTTATTGTTTCCCAGTCGTAAAGTAGCTCAACGTTGTAAAAATTTTATTCAAATGAATTACAAGTCATCATCATTAACGTCATCGAACGTACGCCTAGCAGAAATTACAATTATACCACCAGAACAAATCAAATCATCATCATTTCAACAAGGTATTAAAACATTACATGTTGTATTGTTTCCAAAAGATGCATTTAAAATTGGAAAATCATACTGGCAACATACAGGAGAAGGTATAACTTCAAGAATGGCAGAATATGTTTTATACATTATGCAAATAAAAAAAGATGAGCAAAAATATTCGGATTGTGGTGATGGCGATGAAACTGTTCGTAAAAGACGTCCATCATTTCAAAATCGTTATTCAAATCCTCAATCTTCTTCAAATAAAACCTCAAATTACAATAACAACAACAATAATAATAGCAATAGTAACAAAAATGATAATCTTGAAGATGAATCAAAGCTATCCAAACAATCAGTTGTAGTTGAAGAGAATTATTATGTAGAAGAACGTTATGGTCGAAATCTCCCAGTATTATTTGCTGATAAAGCAAAGTTAGCATTGAAACGTAGAATTGCAGGAGTTCTTGATATTGAATCGAATAAAAACAATGATTTGGATGATGTTATATCAAAACCTATCGAGCCAAATGCTTCTTTAACAGCACGTGGTGTTAAAGGTGTCACGGAAGATGACGTGTTTCTTTTTCCATGTGGAATGGCTTCTATTTTTCACGCTCATCGTTATTTATTGCAAGCTTTCCCACCAAAAAAAAGTATTTGTTATAGGTAAAAGAATAGTTTTTTATGGTATTATATGTAAATAATAATAATATTATATTATATATTTATACATATATTCTAATTCTCCCCACAAGTTTTCCATATACGGACACATTAAAAATTTTGGAAAAATTTGGTCCAGGGTGTTATTTTTATGGCAATGGAACTTCAGAAGATATAGACGAGATTGAGAAATTATTGGAGTCTGGTGATGAGCAAATCCTTGGACTATTTTGTGAATTCCCATCAAATCCTCTATTAAAATCACCAGATCTAAAAAGACTTCGAGCACTTGCAGACAAATATGATTTTCTAATTGTTTTAGATGAAACAATTGGAAATTTTGTTAATGTTGAAGTATTACAATGGGTTGATATTTTGGTTTCTAGTTTAACTAAAGTTTTTAGTGGGGATAGTAATGTGATGGGTGGAGGGTGATTATATATTATTATTATTGTCATCATTGTTTGTTGTTGTCATATTGTTAATATTTTTTCTTGGAAAAAAAAATATAGACTTATCATTAATCCTCAAAGAAAACATTATCAGAAATTGAAACAAGTTATAAAAGATGATTACGAAGACCTTGTTTGGAGTGAAGATGCCGTTTTTCTAGAGCGTAATTCAAGAACATTTAGAGAACGTATTATAAAGATAAACGAGAATGCAGAAAAACTATGTGATTTTTTAATCAAAAGTCCCAAAGGTTCAGTAGTATTATCATTAGTAGTAAATAATTGTTAATTTAATTTATTTATTATATTTTTTTTAAATGAAAAATTATTATTATCTAGTGAAAAAATTATATTATCCAAAATACATTACACCCGATATTTATAATCAATATAAAAGAAAAAATGGTGGTTACGGAGGATTATTTTCGGTGACATTCCATTCTGAACTTGCATCAAAACAATTCTTTGATGCCATACCTATAGCAAAAGGACCATCACTTGGTACCAATTTTACATTGGCATGTCCATACACGATTCTAGCACATTATTTAGAATTAGACTGGGCATCGAAATATGGAGTTGAAGCAGGATTAATTAGAATTAGTGTTGGTTTGGAGGATATTGATGTTTTGTTGGCTGGAATGCAAAAAGGACTTGATGCCATAAGTGATTGAGTGAAATTAAAAAAATTTTTTTTTAAGACATTTGGATTTTTTCTAACTATTATTATCATTATTTTTATTTATTATTAATATAATTAATTGGTTCGCGTGTGTAAATTTAATAATTTTTTTTATTGTCGTAAACATTATATTAATTATCATTTTCATATTTATCGTATTTATCACGCTTACAACATAAAATTCCACGGAAAATTTTTTATTCCTTTAAGGCAAATTTCAACATTATATTTACATTTATCATTCCCATACAAACGAAATCAATCCTTACATCGATTTGCCCTGTATCATATTATGTTTTATAAATTAATTATTTTGACGAGGAAATATTTGTTTTTATTATTTTTTAAAAATGACGAGCGAATTAAAAATTTTTTTCCAAACGTTCTTTTTCTTTGCAGACAATATTTCAACGATAACAATAGCTACACGAAAAAAATAAAAATTTTAAATTACTGCAAAAAAAAACCCCCCCTCTCATAAAACCACGTAAAAAAAAAGCTCATCCATCATCTTTGCCAATTTCTTTGCCTTCCCAACCAATTTTTTGAATAGATTCTTTTAGAAATTTGTCGTAAATTGAAAAACCAATTTTATTATAGCGTCTTTTACCAATCAATATATGATCTATAACCATCATTATTTTCTCGAAAAGTGTCAAATAAAGTTTGAAGATGAAATAATTGGTGCAATTGAAAATAAAATTATTGCATGCGAATTCATTTTTATTTAATCTTTATCAGTAGGTTGTTTTGAAAACACGTTTTTAAAATACTTTTCCCCCCGTTATACTATTTATTTAAAAATTTTTTTTGCAAAGTCATATTTTAAAAATAAATGTAAAAAACGCGTAAAATCATTGACTTATAATTACATTTTACAGTTTTATTTAATAAATGACGAAAAATATTTAAAAATAAAAACCCCGAATGATAACCAATAATTAGTCGTGTGGTGGCACAAATGATTTAATTTTTTTTTATCATCATCATCCTAATCCATCCATCATAATCATATATTTCAACGACAAATGCGTTATCGAATAGTTGCGAGTATAGTGTTATCCCGCGCACCAGTTATATTAAGAGATCCACATCCTTTTGAACTTCAATATTACTTGTATCAACAAAAATTAGGACAGCTACATTCCACACCATTTCCAATTAATTTTTACTTTAAAAAAGGTAGTTTGGCAGAAAAACAATGGTTGCAACGAAAGAAAAACCTTGTTGATGAAGCTGTTGAATCATTTGATTTCAAAAATGATAAAAATGGTTCTCAAATTTTGAAGTCATCATTATTTAAAAATTACGAGGATGTTGCAACGTCATCAGCATCAGATGATTTTTCTACAGGTATACAAATAGAAGAAGAATTAAAGATTGCTAGTAGAATTACCAAGGCTGACATGGAAAACAATGTTAAATCACTTGATCGTGCTTTGCAAAGAACTTTATATTTAATTGTAAAGAAACCAAGATTAGAAGACTCTTGGCAATTCCCACAAGGCGGTTTGGATGGATCAGAAACTTTATTAGAGGTAAAATCTATATATTTTTTTTTTCCAAAAAAAATGGTAGAAATGCAAATAAATTTATTATTGTTAATTTTTATAATGTGTAATATAAATAAAGGCTGCAACTAGAGAGTTGAAAGAAGAATGTGGAGATAGTATGGATATTTGGTTTGTGGGCAGAAGGCCGATTGGTTATAATAAATATAATTTTAAGAAACCTCTACGTAAAGATGAAATAGAATACATAGGATCCAAGGTTCTTTCAACAATTTTAAAATAATTGATGATTAGAAGAAAATGTGTAAATTAATTCAATTAATCAATTAAAAACAAATTTTATTATTATTCATTTCTAGGTATTTTTTATAAAGGCACATATATTTGCTGGACAAGTTAAAGTTGATAACAAGGAAATTATAGATTTTGCATGGGTCACTAAACAAGAATTAAGAGAATATGTAGAGAGTTACTATTATGATGCGGTAAAAGATATGCTATCAGAACTATAAAGACATTTATCAATTAATTAATTATTTATAAATAAACATTATAATCTTAAAAAAAAAAAAAAAACAATGCTTTGAAAGATGTTTCTCTATTTTATATTTTTCTATTAAATAACAATAGTTACTAATGTTTGATTATTTGATTATTATAGTCATTAGGTTGATTTTCTGGCAATTTCATAATCAAGATCGTCAATGTCACTTATTTTACTACTGCTAATGCTATCAATATCATTTACTCTATTACTACTAATACTGTTAGTTCTGTTAGTTTTAATACTATTAGGATGACTATTATGATTACTACTAATGATGCTACTATCATCGTCGTTACTATTATTATATTTTAATAATAATTCAAATAACTCAGGATAAACTTCTTTATGAACATCTGAAGCCCAAAGAAAATCTAAAAATATAAATAGAGGATATGAGGGAAAATAAAGTATATCATTAATATAATCTTTAAACTAGACAAAAAAAATTTTCCATTTCATTCGCTCCCTCTCCTCCCTCCTCCTCAATATATATATATATATATATATATATTTACCTAAATGTTCATAAATAGGAATTTCTTTAACAAATACAGGTCTTGGTAATTGTTTAAGTAATACATTAATATCAACTAAACTATCACTACCGCCATAAAAAACTGCAATCGGTGTACTGATTTGATTTGTTGGAAATAATTGACAACGATGTCCCGTAAAAGCTGTTGAATACATCAAAGGTGGTATTTCATCATACATTTGAAAAATGTTGGCACGAATAATTTGAAACCAATGCTTATTGTCATTGTATATTAAAAACCAAATTGGTTAAAATCATGATTATTATATAAATAAATAAATGAATGAATATATATATATGAATGTAGATAAATAAATAAAAAATAAATAAATAAATACCACCACACTTTTTACACTAGTAAAAGTGTATAAATGATAATACGAGACAGCCTTTTGTTCTTCGCTTATATTATTTCCATTCCATCCAAATAGAAAATTCATACATATATCAAGTAGTTTGGTAAATATCGGAGGCGATAAAACCCTTTGCCAAAACAATGTAACACTCAAAAATGCTCTTCGACCAAAAAATAAATAGATAATGTTGGGTGAAGCTTTAATAAATGCGTCAACAACTGTATTATGTAATCCTAAAAAAAATATAAATAATAAACATTTTTGTATATATATATATATATTTATTTATTTATTTATATGATGATTTTTTACCTCGAGGACTAGTTGCAGGAGCTAACGCAACAAATAAATTGACTTTTTTATTTAATTTTGGATTGATAGAAAGTGCTGCAAATGATTGTGCGGTTCCTTGTGAAAATCCAATATATGTTAAAGATGGCGCTTCTGTTATCTCTAGAATATACTGATTGAAAAAAAAACAAAAATTATATACTTTATGATTAAATCGTTAATCACACAATATTAATTATTTACATCAATCGTATCAGGTAAATCAAATAACGCAAATTCATCCATAGAATATTCCCAAAATCTTCTTTCGTATGGTTTATATTTAATATGCTTCATAGAATATTTATTTCCACGTGCATTACCAAGCCATACATCATAACTATTATCACAATTGTTAAAATTAAAATCATATTGCACTTGATAAAAACATCTTAATAAAATAAATAATGACTATACTATACCCAGCATCAGCCAACAAACATGCTAATCTGCATTCCTCTTCCAAATTACACATCCACACTTCACTACACATCATAAACCCATGATATAATAATACTACCGGTTTACATTTTGCATGACTAGTTTCTCTAATTGTTAAAATATTAATTCCACAATTTTTGAATACTCTTTGCATATATTCATTATAAGAATCATCGTCGTCGAGCCCAACTTTCCTTGTTGGTATCCGATGAATCCCAAGGATGTAATTATCATGAGTTTTAACAATGTGCTCCTCAGTACGATAACCCCTAAATATAATAAAAAAAAACTCATGTATAAATATAATAGATGAATCATCATCATCATCAATAATGATTACTTTTTGATTTACCAAAATTCGGCCATTTCTTGAAATGTGTTTAAATTTTGAAGAATTTTTGCTGGTCCTGATCTTTCATCTTTGTATAGCATTGAAAACGCCCTACCAATTAATAAATAATCATTATGTAATAATTACAAATTAATCCATTTATGATATATGTATATATATATATAAAATTTCATGATTTTCCTCACCAAATTAACTTACTTTTGACTTTCTGCTCTAAAAAAATTCAAGGCAAATCCTGGCAAACAAAATGTAACCACCCTAAGTAAACTTTCAAACATTAATAAAAATAATCCAGTTATCAATGTTAAATAATCATGAAAATTTAAACGGCTAATAATTGGTAATTCCATATTAAATATATTATTATAAGTAAATGCGTTTTCAAAAAAAAATTTTTAATGCAGTAGATCACTTAAAATTAATTTTTATTCCTGATTTATTCCCCGATTGACATGTGTCTCATTTTCACGTCTAACTAAAATTTTTTAGAAAAACAATTTTTTTCGATTTATAATTATAAAAATAATAACAAACACACAAAAAAAAATTTCCTTGTTGATAAAACAATTGATTCAAATTATTATTGTAAATGTTTTCAATGAATATAAAAAAGTGAGCATTTTGTTTTTCGATTTTTTTTAAAATAATTAGGACACTTTCTCATCTTGGAAAATTAAATCATGAAAACTATTTGCAAATCTGATCGAAATAGATTTTTACTAATATTAATACCATGGGAATCGACTGGGATTTGATTTCGATTTCTTGCATAGCCAGAAATCACTCGTTATCATCATCATTAGCTTTTCATGACAATAGTAGCCGGAATTGCATCTGAAATCATTTAAACTGAAATAAATCAAATAGCAGGATATTATTGAGAGTCCAAAATATTTGGATACAAGCTCATTCGAAAAGAAAACTCAAAATTCACCGATAAACCTTTGCGTGAAATTTAATTTAAAAATAAATTCAAATCAAATATTATGAATACCGAGTGAACATGAAACCCACAAATATCTGAATTTATAAATAGCAAGCATCTTGCCTTTACTTGATCAAATTAAATTTCTCTCCCACTAAAACTTAAACAGTCAACCTGATACTAAGGTCATAGGTATTTTATTTTGAAAAGTAAAGAAGATGAAGTGTATGGTAGTTTTTTTGATATTAATATGTTACCCCTAACTATGAGACTTAAGAAAGTGTAATGTGTCAGAGAATTACAACAAACACAGAGTTTACAACATATTAATATATACTCATGATATAGACCGCCAAATGGTAGGAACAATATATCACATCACTTGGATCAGATAAAGAATGCAGTTAAAAAATACCTGTAGACCATCAATAGCAAGATAATTAGTGTCAAGGTACATGGTGTTGTTTGACGAAATGCTACCAAAGTTGTAAAACTATTACGTCAAACTCGCAGCATTGAGTCAAAAATGGCGCAAGTAAAATTGCTTTAAAAAGCTAATAAAGATATAAATATATATTCCAAGGTCTCCTTCGTTTTTATTTTTATCAGTCATAACTAACTTCCCTTGCTGAATACAATTTAAATTCTCGCACATTCATTTACCACTAAACTCGCACATTAATCGGGATTCGAATAATTATGCACTATGTTCCAGGGTCAACTAATTTTACCACTAATCAAATGAAAATTTTATGCAAAAAGCTTTTTATTATCAAATTACTGTAGTTTTATAATGTCAATATTGATTGATCAAGTTACTGCAATAATAAATCTTTAATTTTCCATCTTTATCCTTATCCTTATTGTAATGATCAAATCAAAGAATAACTTCAGGTGCTTGCTTAAAAAAGCAGAGAAAAATAATAGATATCAAATAAAATTAATCTTAATTTTCTTTGTTTAAAGCACTTTGATAAAAGCAACAAGTGTAGTGCCTTGGTAAAAGGTAACAATTGGTAAAAATACCATGTTTTATTCACTTTAGTGAACAAGCAAGGTCAGGAATAACGTTGGTTAATTAGTGGGTGCTAACAACATAATTCACTTTAATGAGTAAGCAAGATTGGGACTAATGTTGGTTAACTAGTGAGTGTTAATGAAGTATCGTCCAAGGTTAATCAAAAATGCTGGTATTATTATTATTGTAATCATAAATGTATGGCTGTTTAAACAAGCTACGTAAGTTGTTTTGCAAGCAAACCAATCGGCCAATGAATGTAAACAACTGAAATAAATTGACCACAAGTGAATAACTTTGTAAAAGAGCCATTTTATGGTTATCTGGCACCATTAAGTGTGCTTACAAACTCATCTAGGTGAACCAAAATAAAATAAAATTCATAAACTGATTAACTGACAAGCACTGAATTATTGAAATCAATTGACAAGTATAGCTGAAAGTCAAGCTGTAATTGGCGTTAACCAAATGCTATCTTAAATATCACCATTTAATAAGAATCAGAAAACTGTAAAATGTTTATTACTTCAAAATATTGTTATAATTTAGCTTTAAGAAATAAATAAGGATAAAATAAAAAGTTAAATAATTATAATGAATAAATTTATTTATGTGGAGATTAAATTAGTCATTCATCAATCTTTCTTCTTTTACTATTATTACTAGAATCTAATGTTTATTAAAAAATATCATTAGTAATTGATACTAGTTCCAATTAATTAATAATGCTATTTTTTTTATTCACCTTTGTTAAAATCAAGATTATTTTCATTACTTGTATAACTTTTTAACCTTTTATATTTGGCAATCTCTTCATCTAAAATTCTACTTGTATGGTATGCATCTGGATGTGATTTGTGTACTTGTTGCAAAACACTACTACCAATACTAGTAATAGTACTACTATTACCATCACTGATATTATTACTATTATGATGAACTTCTTTTAACTTTTCATTAGCAAAGTCCCAAAGCTCTCCAATAGTTGGTCTTTTTGATGGATCCGCATCCCAACACCTCTGCATCATTTGCACATAGTCATCAGGCATTTCTGGTAATATTGGTGGTCGTAAACCTGCACATATATACTAAACATTAAGTGATGATTGTGAGCTCTATCATCAAATGGTGGGTGACCAGCAAATATTTCCCACATTAACATCCCAACACTATAGATATCAGATTCCTTGTGTTCTTTTCACCTCTAAGCAGTTCAGGTGCAATATACAATACAATTCCATAGACTTTATTTGATGATTTTTCATCAACTGGTCCACATAATCCTAAATCTGTAATATAACAACCACGTCCATCTATTAATATATTACCACTATGTAAATCACAATGGATTAAATCTTTTTCATGTATATCATCTAATGCATCACAAAAATAATCAAAGATTGTAATTCTGTCTTTTAGTGTTAAATTTAAATGATTTTTTTGTAAATAATCCCTTAAATTTCCTTCTGGATAATGATTAAGAACAATTGCATAATTTCCATTATCTGGGAATTTAGTTATACCATAGCAATTAACAATTAACCCTGATTTAATTTTACAATAATTCACTGCCTGAAATAAATATAAAATCAATTAGTATTATATAGTACAGTATTGTTTATTTTGTTTTAAATGACAACTACCAACCTCATCAAAAAAATGTTTTCCTGGATTACTTGAATTATTTAAACTTTTTAATACTATATTTTGCTCTCCAAAATAACTAAATTCCTTTTTATTTTCATCATAATCAACAATACTTCCTCTTGTCCATATAGCAGTATAAATTGAACTAAATCCACCTTCAGTTAACTTTTTTACATTTTCAAATTGCTCAAAAGGTATCCATTCTAAAATATATCTTGGCAGAGATGATTTCATTTGGCATTGTTGAATAAAGTTATCTACTATGCTATTTCCAGATGTCCAAGTGGTGAAGAGACTCTGTAATTGTAAACTAATACAACCTTCACAGAACATATCAGAGTATCTTGTCAATTTACACTTGTTACATTCTTTTGGTTTGCCTATTTTATTTTTTGCACTCTTTAATTCAGACACATAAACAAACTCTTCTTTACAGTATTCTTTTTCAATTTCAGAAAGCTCCTCGTTTTTTTGGACTAATGAAAAAAAAAAATTCTTTTCTACTTTCTACATCAGAATTAACCAAAGCATTATCACACATTTCATTATAAATTTTAAATACAAATTCTCTTCCTTCTGGTGATAATAATTTGTAATTTGACATTATATAAAATAAATTTTTTGGTGTTTTAATGAATAGTTTTTTGAGAATAAATGTTAATTTATAATTTTTTTTGCGGAGCGTGTAACAAACAATTTTCTCGCGATATTATTTGTACATTTCCTAATGATAATAATTCACGCTTTTTAACCTTTTGTTATAATAATAACGGGTTTTTTTGACAGTCAAATAGTTTATGAAAATAAAAATTGCATCATCACCAAACTCTAGTGATTGAAAGAATTTCGGGATTTTTTGTTTACTATTTTCATCAATTTTAAAACTTCAAAATTAAATTTACAAACACCTGCACCTAAACCTGTCTCATGTACTACGAACCAATATTGACCAGCCTATGTATGTTTCAAACTCAGGTACTCAAAGCATGTTTTATTTTATTATTAATATTACTCTATTACACATTGTTAACTTCAAAGTCAAAAATCAAATCAAAAGTTAATTTAACACAACTAACTCTACATGTGTTTCAAACTCAGACACTAAAGACAATTCATGTATTTTTGAGAATAAAAATAAAAATTTCCGAGTTTCGACTCAAAAACCAAACCTTCAATTATAAAATACCTTATCCATACAATCAAAATAATAGTTGCTATTGAATATACATGCTCACTCACTTCAAATAATTAGTTAGCAACGTTAATTGATGTTATTTTACTGCCCATCCCTTTATTAATAAAAATTTATCAGTTAGTGTTTTAGCTTTAAAATTAATTTGATAAAATAGATAATCCTACAAGTTACCTGATTGATTGATTCATTAGTTGTTCGTATAGCATTTTCATTATATATATTTTTTCACAGTAAACCGTTAAATTTTCTTTGTCCAAATGCCAAATTGCTCCAACTTCTAATGCTCTTTCAAATTCTTGCTTTTTCTATTTTATCAAGTCTTTTCCTAGGAAAAAATTTGTTTTTGGAACATCTTCAGGTCTTTTGCCACCACCAAAACTTGCTGGGCTATGACATAATTAGTATATTTTAAGCCACAAAGATTCTGACACATGCTCATGCTTTCATTCTCCAACTCTTCCATATCTCAATGCATGGCTGGTTTATTCACAAAAAAATTGATTTTAGCTTCCTTCTTGGTAATCAGTATTATTAGTCCTTGTAGTTGTAGAATCATCTGTAAAGAAAACTTCTGATTCTGATAACTCTTTTAAAATTTGCAACTTGATAATCACTCCCAAGTGAAATAGTTGCAAATAAACTTGTTTAGCACTAATAGATTCACGAAAATTATACAAGTAAATGATTTTTGACAAGGATCGTAAGGAAGTTTTAAAAAATAATTGGTGATTGTAAAACACAAGAAATGTTTCAACATGATTTTTTGAAAAATCAGGCAAGGCGAATATATTGACTGATCACATTTCCGTTTTCACCAACATTTGCTTCATAAACCTGCAAGTATTCTTGGTCCAAGATTATTCATCTGCATTCATCAATAAAACGTATGGATGTTTAAAGTTTTGTGTAATAGTAAAATAAAAAAAATTTTATAAATTTTTAATCTTCAGTAACACCACCACCACGCAAACACTACTCGCAATTTTCACAATGCGGCCTGTTCCAAATGTCCCAAGAGAAATGATCGATGAAATAATCAGGAAAAAAAAATTAGAATTGGCTGCTCGACAAATAAGTATTGAAGAAGTAAACAATAAAGAAAAAAATGAAAAGAAGCAAAAACAAAAACAAAATAGCAGTAATAATAGTAGTAGCAGTAGCAATAGTAGTAATAATTTATCAAGTGGACCTTCGTTGTCAGCTCGTTTGGCTAATCTTATTGGAATTTATTCAGGTGATGATACTTCTACTACCACTGCTGTGACAAAAAATGATAAAAAAAAATCAACAACTTTATCAAAAAATAAAGTTAACGATAATGAAGATGGTGAAGAAGACAATGATGATTACATTAAATCGATTTCACATAAAAATATTTTAAAAATTTTAAATATTGATCCAACTGAAATTGAAAAAGAATACTGTAAAGAAGAATTTGTTTATGTGTCTGAATTAAAGAGTGCAATAAACAAAAAAGGAAAACCAAAAGAATGTAACAAGTGTAAATTGACAAGATACTCTGATGGATTCTGTGAATGTTGTATTAGTTTACAATTACAGAGTCTCTTCACCACTTGGACATCTGGAAATAATATAATTGACAATTTTATCCAACAATGTCAAATGAAATCATCTCTGCCAGACAATATTTTAGAATGGATACCTTTTGAGCAATTTGAAGATATAACAAAATTAACTGAAGGTGGATTTAGCACAATTTATAAAGCTAAATGGACAAGAGGAAGTATTATTGATTATGATGAAAATAAAAAGGAGTTTAGTTATTTTGGAGAGCAAAAAGTAGTGTTAAAAAATTTAAATAATTCAAGTAATCCAGGGAAAAGCTTTTTTGATGAGGTTGGTAGTTGTCATTTAAAACAATACTACATTATATAATATTAATCTATTTTATATTTATTTCAGGCAGTGAATTATTGCAAAATTAAAACAATAATGATTGTTAAATGTTGTGGTATAACTAGATTCTCAGATAGTGGAAATTATGCAATAGTTTTAAATTATGTGTCAGAAGGAAATTTAAGAGATTATTTACAAAAAAATCATCATAATTTAACATTAAAAGACAGAATTACAATCTTTAATGATTTATGTTATGCATTAAATGATATACATAGGAAAGATTTAATCCATTGTGATTTACATAGTGGTAATCTATTATTGCAAGGAGGTAGTTGTTATATTACAGATTTAGGATTATGTGGACCAGTTGATGAAAAGTTGTCAAATAAAGTCTATGGAATTGTATCATATATTGCACCTGAGCTATTTAAATGTGAAAAGAACACAAAAGAAACAGATATCTATAGTGTTGGGATGTTAATGTGGGAAATATTTGCAGGTCACCCACCATTTGATGATAGAGCTCACAATCATCACTTAATGTTTAGTATATGTGCAGGTTTACGACCACCAATATTACCAGAAATGCCTGATGACTATTCACAAATGATGCAGAGGTGTTGGGATGTGGATCCATCAAAAAGACCAACTATTGGAGAGCTTTGGGACTTTGCTAATGAAAAGTTAAAAGAAGTTCATTATAATAGTAATAACATCAGTAGTAGTATTAGTAGTGATGGTAATAATAGTAATTTTACTACTAGTGGTAGTAATGTTTTGCAACAAGTACACAAATCACATCCAGACGCAAACCATACAAGTAGAATTTTAGATGAAGAGATTGCCAAATATAAAAGGTTAAAGAGTTATACAAGTAATGAAAATAATCTTGTTTTTAACAAAGGTGAATAAAAAATAACATTATTAATTAATTGGAATTACTATCGATTACTAACGACCTTTTTTAATTTATTGATAAACATTAGATTCTAGTAATAATAAAAGAAAAAAGGTTGATGAATGACTAATTTAATCTCCATTAAAAATTTATTTGTTACGACCATTTATTTTTTTTTTTATTCTTATTTGTTTCTTAAAGCTAAATTATAATAATATTTTAATAAAGTTTTCTGATTCTTGTTAAATGGTGACATCGCCAATTGTGGCTCAACTTTCAGGCTTACCCTTGTCAATTAATTGCATCAAACCGGTGCTTGTCAATTAATTAGTTTAAGAATTTACTTTGATTGGTTCTCGCTTACTGCTTCTTTCTTGCGCCTAGAGAGCTTCGACGAATCTGTAAGCACACTTAACGGTACCGAATAACTGTAAATAAATAAAGATATCCCTTAAGAGCTTCTACAAAATTACTTGCGACCAATTTATTTCAGTTGTTTATTTTTATCTACCGATTTTAGTTTATTTACAGACAATTTATGTTTACGAATACTATAACACTACCGGTATTTCCGATTAACCTTTAGACTGACTGTTGCTAAAACTCACTAGTTAACCAACGTTAGTACTTACTAAAAGCAAATAATGTTGCTAATCTTTGTTAACACTCGCCACTTAATCCTGATATTTGTTTACTTACCAAGACAACCCCGCTTGTTGTTTTTATAAAGGCGCTTTAAACAAAGAAATAAAAACAATTTTTAAGGATTAATTTATCTATGATTCTATCAGGGTCTTATTAGTTAAATTGATTCTCTCAAAAAAATAATAATATTGAATGAATAAATTATCGCAACCCCATAATATATTAGGTATGTGGAATCTTAGTTTCAAACTAATTGTCGAGTTTCAAATTAATAGAACATTTGAATATTAGAAGTTCTACACAACAAAAAGATCAAGGATTCTATGAATTTACTTATTTAATTGAACAATAAGAGCTTTTAATAGTAATAGAAGGAAAAATGGAAATATTTCTTTGCATGTTAATTAAACAATTACAGTATTGATAATGATAAATAAGGCTTAGTTACTTTTAATATAAATCTTCTGCTTGAATAATAATGATAAAGATTTTTTTATAACAAGTAATACATAAATCACACGATTTTCTTTAATCACACCTAATTTTGTCAAAAGACCCACACTTTGTTGTTTTTTCAACAAGTATTTAAAATGACGCTTTGTTTTAATTGCAATCTTCTTCAAAGAAAAAACCAAGTTTAGACGGTTATATTAGACATTACAACGGAGTTTCAATCCTACTCTCTTTAATTCTGATTTTTTTGTTGATTTTTTAACCAATATATACTATCAAATTAACCTTGATCTTGTTTCAACGAATTATAATTATAAAATTCATTGAAACGCGTTTTTAAATGCATTTTTCTTATTCGTTCCATCTTATAAAAATTATACACACATATTAACTGATACGGAAAACGAACTTTCCCGTGCCTAAACACATGAAAATGGTACAGTGTAAATTTTCCTACGTATTTTCCATGTTAAGATGCATTTTTCATGTACGAAAACTATACTAATCATAATATGGAAAGATGACCGCAAAACTATTCTATATCAGCTCCGTGCTGTTTTCATATTTTGCATGTTTCATATCAAAAATGTGTTTTTCTAATCAAAATATGTTTTTCCCGTATGTATTCATCCTGCATCTATTCGGTGCTTATCCTGTGCATAGTTTTTTACAGGAACATGGATTTGTTGAAATGAAGTTTGACTGTATTTACCTCATCTAGTTATAAGCACATTTTATCTTTGAACTCTATCAAGTTTTAATTTATACTTAAAATCCATCTTGAATTGAATCGAATCCAATTGAATCCGGTTTTTTTGAATTTGAATCATGATTCGGTTTGATCAAAACAATCGAATAGAAACGTTTTAAAATCCGACTCGATTCATTCAGTGCCTTAGTTCTTTTAGTTCATATTACTCCTACCACCTCTACCACTACTATTATTATTGACAACATTATTTCGGCTATTTTCACCACCTGTTTTATATCTTGCAAAAATCTTTCATAGGAAAATTTGTGTCGTGTATACACACACACTCGGATGCTTGTTTTTTATTTTTAATTTGACCCTAAACTTTCAATAGGTAGGGTGGGGTAGGCATTTACGTCAATTGGGTTACTCAAAGATGTTACTTTAAAGATCTATCCAAAACGTTCCAGATCGTCAAAAATTTATTTTTTTATTGTTGATAAATAATAAAAAATAAATATACTTTAAAAAAAAAATTAAAGGTAATATTTATGTTTATTTATTATTGCTATTACATTCACTCGATCGACCCATCCATTTATCCATTGATTATTATTATATAATGAAATTATATTTAATCTAGCTCGATAAAAAATGAGAGCAAAGTGGAAGAAAAAGAGAACTAGACGTCTTAAACGTAAAAGAAGAAAAATGAGAGCTCGTTCTAAAGTACTTATATCAACATTACTTTCTTTCGTTTCTTTTATTATTTACTAATTATTTTATCAATTAATTAATTATCATTTACTTTCTTTTTTCTCTCACAATTAAAATTTTTACAGTAAAATGTTATTACCATTTCCATTATTATTAAAAGTGGTTTTATCATATCAGAGGTTTTTTTCAATTAATATTATCACAATTTTATGTTTTCAAAAAATAAATTTTTTATTTTTCTACATTTTTTAATTTATCAGATAAAACTTCATAAAATTTTTGTTTATCCTTTAAATCATAAGATGGATTTTGTCCTATTAATGAGGATACAGTTTCAGAAAGTATTTTAGAATTTAACGTTTTCCCCAAATATCTAGTGTAATCGCCATGTTTAATTTCTAACAATTCTAATGATTCATCAGCATCCCCCGCAATTAATTCATTTTCTTTTTGTATCATCAAGGAGAAATCTGGTGTAATGGTTTGATATCCATCCCAATTAATGTCTTCCACTACAAAATCTTTTGCTTTTACCATTTCATGCCTTTTTTTATTGATACTTGGTTGTAACTGTGGTCTTTCATTGTTCTTTCGCATTTGGCTTTCTTGTCGTCGCCTTCGAGCATCCTCATTCACATGAATATAACGTTGTCCTTTGGTTTTCTTTTGATCATTACCATCATTTTTAGTAGATCCAAAATATTTTTTTAAAGGATCAATAGTTTCCTCCACCAAATACTCGATATCATTATTAGGCAACATGCTTTGAAAAGCCTTTTGTTTTTTCTGGTACGTAAAAGATGTCGCCTCCTTATCCATCGTCGCAACATCCTCAATCGAATCATCAAATTGACCAGGTTGTGGTTTTCTCATCCTTGTCACTTCACCACCATCATCACCATCACCTAATTTTTTTGATTCTTGCAGTTTTCTTCGAAGTTTTTGTAGTAAACTTAGATCTCTATTTCCACCATTATCATAATTAGTTTTATTATAATTAGTAGTAGGGTTATTGGCCGATTTGGTAGCAGTCGCATTTATTTCATCAATTTCAAAAATTTTACCACGAAAAGTTATAGCACTAGAACTACCCCTACCAATCCCAGGTTGTAAAGTAGAATTTAATCTTGTGTTTAATGGTAGTTTGCTGCTATGTGATGGATTTTGGATAAACGGTCGAAACATATCATATATTTTATTATATATCAATTGCTGCTGGTTAATAATTTATTTGTACTAAATTTTATCAAGGGAAAATCTTTTTTTTTACCAGTGATAATATTATATTTTTTCGCCCTTCATTAAAAACAATGTGGATTTTCATTCCTCAAAAAAATTAACAATGCATCTTTTCAATCATTTAATAACGAAAAAGTTGATAATAGTGAGTGGAAATTTTTTTTTGTATATTTTTTTTTTTTAGTTAAAAATTATGACTAAATAATTTTTATCACATTTATGAATTTCAGCGTTCTTCACATCTAATATTTAGATCAAATAAAACCTTCTACAAGCCAATAATAACGTTGAATCAAAGAAAATTTTCATTATATAAAAATCATGATTATAAATTATTTCGAGACTTTATGTATAATTCTGAAGTAATCGATGCATTAAAATCAAACAAGCCAATTGTAGCATTAGAGTCTACCATTATAAGTCATGGTTGGTAAAGAATTACGAGTCACACATAAAATAATAGGTGTATATTTAGGAAAATTGGTTTATACAATTTAATTGAAATATAGGAATGCCTTACCCACAAAACTTGGAAACTGCGATTATGATAGAAAATATAATACGTGATCATGAATGTGTTCCTGCTACTATTGCTGTTTTAGATGGTATAGTTCACGTAGGTAAGATTTAATCGTCACATTTCTATTTTATTTTTCAGTTACAAGTGCTTAAAATGACAAAAATAATTGATTTTTGTTATTTAGGTTTGACAAAGGATGAATTAGAGAAATTGGCAAAGTTGGGTCATCAAGCTAGAAAATGTTCAAGGAGAGATCTTGCTTTTGTTACATCGCAGGTTTCGATGAAATAATGATAAATTCTTTTTACGATGTTATTCTTCCTCATACACACATATATAATTATTGGGATATGGATATTGTTGATGTTTTTCTAGGGATTAACAGGAGCAACGACAGTCTCTGGAACAATGGTGATTGCACACAGAGCAGGAATAAAAGTATTTGTCACAGGGGGTATTGGAGGTGTTCACAGAGATGGAGAAAATAGTATGCGTTTTTTTTTATTTAAATACAATTATTAATAGTATAATTATCATCATCATTTTATTATTAGTATATTTAATAATATTGGTAAATATATAGCAATGGACATAAGTGCTGATCTGATAGAATTGAGTAGAACACCTGTTGCTGTTGTATGTGCAGGTGTTAAATCAATCCTGGATATTGAAAAAACTTTGGAATATTTGGTTAGATGATGATGTTATTATTATTTGGATGAATTTATGTAATCATAATCACTATCATCTAATCATTACAAGAATATTATCCTTAGGAAACTCAAGGTGTTACTGTGGCAACTTTTGGAGAAACAGATGATTTTCCGGCATTTTTTACGCCAAAGAGTGGCTTAAAGGTGAAAACAATGATATTGATGTTGTTGGCAAAAAAAAAATAACTTTGTTTTTGAGTGGTCTGATTTGATGTTGATTTGATTATAGAGTCCATCTCATTTGAAAACAATTGAAGATTGTGCATCATTAATATGTAAGCTTTACTGATTAATCAATTAATAATAATATTATTAATATCATTATGATTATTTTAATTTCTTTATATAATTATTTGATTATGATTTAGATGCAAATTCAAGACTTAAACTTGAAAGTGGTATGCTAATTGCTGTTCCAGTACCAGAACATGAATCAGCTGACGCAAATAAAATACAGGTGGCAATTGATCAATCATTGAGGGAAACGTTGTATGTAAAAAAATTTGAAACATAATTGATCCATTAATCATTATCATAATTATAATTAATCTTTTGTATATACTTTTAAATTTTAAGTGACAAAAGAATTCATGGTAAAGATGTTACGCCATTTTTACTTAAAAGAGTTAATGAGATTACTAAAGGTGATTCATTAAAATCAAGTAAGGGAAAAAATCTTCTATTAATTGTTATTTAACTCCTTAATAAATATAAATATAAAATATAAACGTAAAATAATTTATTTATTTTTTAATAAAGATATTGCTTTAATAAAGAATAATGCAAAAGTTGGATGTCAAATTTCTATGTGTCTTTCACAACTCAACTATGAAAAAATTAATGTATATTTGAGATATTAAATAATTTATTTATTAATTAATTTGAATAAAACTTTAATACACACATGTATACGCTATTCAATAGAAGCCATCATCATCTATTTCTAATCTCGACAACAACAGAAATAGTAATGAGTTGATTGTAGTGGGAGGAATTATAATGGATATAATATCAAAATC